TTTTTTAAATAGTTATGTACATTTGAATTTTTTTCACTTCGTCAAATATTGGTGATTCTACAAACGAAGGACGAAAATGAAGAAAATATGGACACAACATTTTTTTCTCATTTAAGATCTGAAAAGTACTTTAACATCAAGTTAATGACACTAAAAAAGATATCTGAAAGTGGCCAGACAAAATATTAAAAATTACAAAAGTTATGGTTGTTTATAAACAATTTATCCAGGTTAACGTCGTGTATAGAAAATTCACATTAACACAAAAAATAATGGATGAATTTATACAAAATTTATTACTCGGGGGTTTTCGGAGTCACTGATTACGAATCCGGAGTCAGTTTTTTAAAATTCAAAATGGCGGATGCAACATGGCGGACAAATATTTAAAATCACTGGAAACTACTAACTTCAGACGAATATATTAAGTTTTTACAAAAGTTGTCCGCCATATTGGATCCGCCATTTTGAATTTTGAAAAACTGCCGTCGAATTCGTAATCAGCGACCCCAAAAACCCCCGAGTAACGAATTTTACAAGGTTCAATAAAAGGTATTGCTTTAATTAGTAATTTGTTTATATAATTTGTTTATAACAAATTACGTGTGTTCTACTAGAACATAATTTTCTAAATCACAAATCTGTAGGAGTACTTTAAGTGTCTAATAATAAAAAATATTTTGATTTTATTGTGATATTCATACAATTCACAGGAAAAAAGTACTTTTTATTTGTTTATTTATATTAATATAATTATATATACAAAATGAAAATTAAAGATTGGGGTTTAGCAATATCTTAAAAATTTAGTGAGAATTATTTTAGGTCAAAAAAATCGAAAAATGTTAAAAAATTATTAATTTTACGCTGTTTTTAGTGCTTAATGTATATCCTGTCTCAAAAGTGCTAGACGAATGAGAACCAGACGAATGAGAATTTGGCAGTTTTTTTTTTAAAAAAGGTAGAAACAACATTAAACAAAAAAATAAGCAATTCTATCCGATAGAGAATTCAAAATTACAATACATAAGCCTATAAAAAGACCTAAAAATAATATTTTTTTCAAAAAAATAGATGCAAGACGAATGAGAATTTGTCTGGTCACAACGCAATCTTGGTCACAAATTGAGAAATCTTGGTTAATAGAATAACAAATTAAATAAAAAGCGCGTGGTATCACATTTAGTTTAGTTTAATTAACAACAATAACGAACTGTAACTTCATCAGAATGTTGATTATTAATAATTTTAACGTGTTTTCAACTGACAGACGAATGATAACAAAATCCAGGGACAAAATTCAAGAAGATATTTTATAAATAAGGTATAGCGTAATGTCATAATTATTTTCATATTAATAATCTACAACTATTTAAAATTACTAATCCAGTATGAATTTTTCGCTAAACACTTGAAAAATAATATTTTTTCACAATATAAACTGTCAATTACACTGCGGGACATGCCAGACGAATGAGAATTTAGCACTTTGATGTGTATTTTTTGCAAGAAATATTTTTTTTCATCGGCTGCTTTTTAGTGCCACAATAGAAACCATTTAGATTTACGATTTTCATAAAAAAAATTTTTTTTCAAAATTAATATACAAAATAAGTTTGACCGCTCATAATTCCCTCGTTTGTAGAATCACCCATATACATATAGAACTACGAAGCAAAACCTACAAGAATCATCTTTCCCTTTTTTTTGTAATAAATTGAAGTGAAATTTTGCAGACCTTTTGTATTTTGTAAAAAAATTTGAACCTACCCAGATAGCACGTAAGCTTGCAGCAATCTTGCGGCAAGCATGCAGCGCAATATTGCCAACCTTGCACGGCAAACTTTCCGCAAGCTTACTGGAAGCTTCAAATGTCCCACCTGACCCAAGCTTGCTTAGTAAGCTTACCGAAAGATTGCTCAGTAAGCCTACTGAAAGATTGCAAGTGTAAGAGTTTACAGCAAAATTGCACAATAAGATTATCGCAAGATTTCTCAGTAAGCTTGTACCAAAGTTGGTACAAGGTTGCCAAATAACCTTACTTTGAACCTAAAAATTTTTTTTTAAATGTTTCGTCTAATTTATACAATTTTATTATATAAATTTGATTATATAAAGTAGACACAACAATTTTAAAAAAAATTGTTTAGGGTTAAAGCAAGGTTATTTGTCAATTTTGCAACAACCTTGCTACAAGCTTACCGTGCAAGCTTACTAAGCAATCCTGCGAGAATCTTATTGTGCAATCTTGTAGTAATATTACACTGCAATCATTCTGTAGGATTACTGAGCAGTCTTTCGGTAAGCTTACCATGCAAGCTTGGGTCAGGTGGGACATTTGAAGCTTGCCGCAAATTTGCTGCAAGTTTACATCCTATTTGAGTATGGTTTGATAAATAATTCAAAAAGTTTATTTCTGAACTAATAACTAACTGCGTAAATTAAATATAGATTCATCGTTACGATTAAGATCTTTTTAAATATTTCACTGAATAATCACATAAATAATCGTCATGTTTGCCTATGATTATGATTTTTCTTATTGCATCATAAAAAACAACAATTTTGTGGATGGAACATGGTCTTTAGGCATTGCTGCGAGAGACGAACAAAAATTTGACCTAAATAACAGAGACGAGAGAAGTAGTACGTAGACGTTCTGCAGTCTAATCTTAAGGGTGAGAATACCCGGAAATGAAATGCTTTATTCACGCTAAAGACAGATTGTGTAGACACACTACATTCACACACCAGACCAGTACCATATATCCATATTAAACCTGCGAGAACATAGAGCTCCCGAATAACGTAAATTGAACAATCAGGACCTGAATTTCTAGAAAGCAATGATAATTCTCGCTTCTCTGAATATAATTTACAAGCGAAACCTGGACAATGACACATCCCAATGGAGAATACAGACATACTGCAATATTATGTTTTCAAAACAAAACCCATATTTCTATTGAAAACTCAAAAATAATATAAAGCTATCAAAAAAATCAACATCATTTTTTGTATATTCACTTTACACGGAAAAAAATTTCATCTGGAATAGCGAAGGGCTTCACTAGAGTAGTGATAAAGATTTAACTGTAACCATTAAAACTTTTGCTATTCTATGTGAAACCTTTGGCTGTTCCAGGTAAATTTTTTTCTTTTGTGCAGAATGGAAAGATTTTTAATTTAATTTTAATTAAAATCGTTAAGTTGAGCATTTTTGGTTGTAAGAACAATATTTTAGATAATATTACAAAAAAGATTTGGTTAGCGCAACAAAACAGGTTGTTTTTGTAAAAAATCACATTTTGTTGACCTGCTTTTTTTGTTGTGCCAAACAGATTTTGTTTGTTATATAGGAGTAAATATTTTTTTCAGTTAGTTTCTAACCTTATATTCCATCGCATCTGGTACTCCAATTCAAAGTTGCCCTTAATGTTGTCCACCATATTCACAAAAACACACACTTTGTTAAAAAAAAAAAAAAAAAATACTGGGTCAAACCATTATATTTCAACTAAAGTGGTCGCTGACTAATTTTTAAAAATTATAATACTTTGCAGGAATGATTTTGAAGTTATCAAGATCACGAAATGAAAAGAATTTTATTAAAAATTTAAATATTTATTGTAAAATATGAATTTAAAGTATATGAGGTGCTAAAAACTGTCAATTTTTTAGCCATTAGAAAATATGCAAAAAAACATAGAATTTACCATAAAAATAAAAAAAAATTATTGGAATTTACTAAGAATGAATAAATTTATCATTATCAATTGATATAATTATTTAAAGATGTGAAGTAATATATAAAATATGATTTCCAAGTGCACCTGTCAAATAACCTAATTTTGCGATTTTTATTCATTAATTATAAAAAATAGAAAACATTAAATTAAATAAAAACTTACCAAATATGAAGTTCTTGCCATAAACTTTTAGAATTTCTTTGCACTTTTCTTCTTTTCTATTCATAAGTATGAAAAATTTAAAAAATAAAATAGCTACTTTGTCTATTTTCACTATTTTTGAAAGTCAATAACTTTCTTGGAGAAAAATGAAAAAATATGGGGTTTCGAAAATTATTTAAATACACACTACATATACATTCACTGAAAATTTCGCATTGGTCCCGAAGCTATTTTCGAAGATAAAGTAAATTAAAAATTTCGTATTTTTTAGGCTATATTGACATGGATTTTAAATCAATGTGAAGGTGGTTCACTGGTGACGACAAACTTCACATTGATTTAATACCTTTAAAACCCATGTCAATATAGCCTAAAAAATACGAAATTTTTAATTTACTTTATCTTCGAAAATAGCTTCGGGACCAATGCGAAATTTTCAGTGAATGTATATGTAATGTGTATTTAAATAATTTTCGAAACCCCATATTTTTTCATTTTTCTCCAAGAAAGTTATTGACTTTCAAAAATAGTGAAAATAGACAAAGTAGCTATTTTATTTTTTAAATTTTTCATACTTATGAATAGAAAAGAAGAAAAGTGCAAAGAAATTCTAAAAGTTTATGGCAAGAACTTCATATTTGGTAAGTTTTTATTTAATTTAATGTTTTCTATTTTTTATAATTAATGAATAAAAATCGCAAAATTAGGTTATTTGACAGGTGCACTTGGAAATCATATTTTATATATTACTTCACATCTTTAAATAATTATATCAATTGATAATGATAAATTTATTCATTCTTAGTAAATTCCAATAATTTTTTTTTATTTTTATGGTAAATTCTATGTTTTTTTGCATATTTTCTAATGGCTAAAAAATTGACAGTTTTTAGCACCTCATATACTTTAAATTCATATTTTACAATAAATATTTAAATTTTTAATAAAATTCTTTTCATTTCGTGATCTTGATAACTTCAAAATCATTCCTGCAAAGTATTATAATTTTTAAAAATTAGTCAGCGACCACTTTAGTTGAAATATAATGGTTTGACCCTACTATCACTCCCGTTGTATAATTTTCGTGATGATAAATAAACACAAACGAATCGATTTACGAAATTGTATTAATGATTTTATCAGAGTTCACTGTTCCTTATTGTTTACATTATTTCTGTTTGTCCTCGTCATCCCGAGTTTGTTTCTGTTGCACCTGGAATCAAACACAAAATCAAGATGAAAACAAAACTATTTTTCTTTTTAAAATAAATTTATTATAAAAGCTCAATATTTTCAGAATAAAATTATTGAAACAATTAAATTAATAATTTATAATTTAAAAACTTTATAAAAATACTGCTTTCATAAATAATAGGAGGGGGGTCTAAAATTCACAAAAATCCTGTCACATCATTTTATTGAAGCCGCATAAATGTAGAAAATACCTTCAAAATATAAAAATAATTTCAAAAATGTATTTAAAATACAACTTTAGAATTACAAAAAAAACAACAAGTATTTTTTTCCCTTCGTAGCCCGTGTACATGTAAATAAAAATTTAAAAAAATTTAAATCGCATTTTACGTTAATATTAAAAAAAAAAACATAAGTTTAATACTCTTTTAATGATACGAAATCATTATTTTGAATTACAAATATATTATTTATTATTTATTTGCAGTTTCAATTTTAAAAATAATTTAAAACTTGAATTGTTATTTACTGTGATAATTGTATATATAAGTATATTTTGTATATATTATTGTAACAATACAATTACAAATTTTAATGTAATTTCTTTATGTACCATGTCCTTCGAAAATGAATTAGGCTAATTTTTTTCAACGAGTTTACAACTAAAAGAGGTTTAAATTATGTGCATGTTAAATGAGTCTCTTACGGGCTGATCAACTTTGTCGCGTGACCGTAATTTTAACACGGTAACGAATAGAAGAAACTTTGTTTGAATGTATAGATGCATCAGATTAATCTAAACAAGCATGGTCAGTGAAACTGAGTTTATTTCAAAATCATTTATACGACTATTATACAAGTTTCAATATTATATTCAAATATTATCTTCATAATATTTAAAATAAAAATACATCATTATTATTACTTCGAATTCATTTAAATATATATATATACCAGGATTAATTTTTTCTTTAAGTTTATTTTTAATAATTTTAATGCTGAAATATAAATTTGAACAGCACTGAAATATTTTTAAAAACACAGATATGAAATTATTAACTTTTTATAATATTTTTTTTGACAAAGAAAGGATTCCCGTCAGAATCTGATTTTCATTCAACATTTAGAAGATTCATATATATATATATATATATATATTAAAGTTATGGTAAGCGGAAATTAGTCATGCAAGTTTCTAAGAGACGACTTGCAAAATTTCATTTCCCCTTGGTAAAATCGTGGGAATAAGCATGTGATGAATCACAGTCAGAGAAACGAGCCTAAATGCACTAAAACTCAAAGTATACGTAAAGTTGCGAGGAAACATCAACTTCCTCCGGAAATAGACGACACCAAATGAAAATTGCATAATTTTCATTCATAAATCTTTATTTAATTAAATCTCATATAAATATTAATACATTTATTGAATATTCTTCCTTATTATAAAATATCCCCTCAAAAAAATAAAAAACTGAATATAAAATAGTTAATCATGAAAAAATATATACATATTATACTTTGAATTTTTATATTTCCGGTGTTAATTATAATAGTAGCATACAATATACTTTTAAAATATATATAATTAATTTTGACTCAATAAATTCTATTTCATATTTAGCAATGTACTGTCACAAAAGTATTATTAGCAAAACGTCTAAATATATAAACCGGACCTAAAGGAAGTTATAATTATAACTGTTTGGATTTTCATTATTAAAATAATGATCTTCAACTCTCTGTAGTTTAAATGAAGTGTCAGAATAAATAAATGTTCTGCAAATAAGTTTGTAATTTTCGTTAGTGACACACATTCGGTGTGTGGTTTCACCGATTCGGAATTTACAAATTCCTTGAAATATCACCCACACATTCATCGGTGTATTCCACCCTTGAAAATCAAGACGAATGTCATGTCATACCCTAGAAAACTGAGTCATTTGAAAAAGATTTTGAAATTGGATTACGCGCGTCTTGGCAATAACAATGCAAATGTTTTACTGATTCAAGATAATGAATCTGATGATGATTTCGTCAATGTGACACGATTATTACTTTAAAAAATTATCGTCATCCTGTATTATATTCCTAAAATTTTAAAATTAGAACTTTAAAAAAATGAAATATTTCGATTCTTATCTCTTAATTACTTAATTAATTTTTTCATTACTTAGTGTCTACGCAGTATAACTTCAACTGTGAAAGAAGTATTTTTTGAAATTATGGAAAAGATATTAGAAATTAATTATGCATTACTATACTATTTGTTATAGGTACGTATCAAGGTCAGTGGTTGAAAGGAACACGTCATGGTTATGGGGTAAGGGCAAGCGCACCCTTTGGATTGGCTAGTCATTATAAGCCAACCAAGCAAATTAGGGCATCCTTAACTTCCTTAAGAAGTGCGGAAGGAGGTCCTGCAGCAGCACCAACGCCTGATCCAATGGACAAAAGAGACAAAAGGGTTGATGATAGTAGAGGTGGATTTGTCCTGAAGGCCAGAAGCGATGATCCACCGGCAAGGCGGAAGAGCTTAACAGAGAAATCCCTCAAGAAAGGCATCCTCTCGGTAAAGTAATTTTATTTTCATTTATTACTCCCAAACACAATGCCACTTATCTGACCTATAAAACTAAAAAGCCCCCGCATCATTCAAAGGAATATATAAATTTCATATTTACTTTTATACAACATCTACTTTACTTGATATTCCTGTACACACAACAAAGAAGCAAAATCTATTCAGTTCCATTTTGAAATTAAATTTCCCATTTCATTTCATTTAATCTACCAATTGAAAATTGGTTTAATTTCTTACATTTCTTTTTTAATATTTTTTTCATTTTATAGAAATAATACAGAGAAAATTTATAATAATATTCATGTCTTCTTTCATTTAATTTTTCTTTTTACAAAATTTTCTCATTTTATTACTTACAGATAAATTTATATACTAAATGAAAGATCATGAAAATAAAAGACAACTGAAATGATAAATTATCGTGATCAATGTATTTTTGTCAATGTTTTAGGGATTGAAGATAAGAAAGCAAAGAAGCACAGGTGACCTTGAAAAACGCGGTACGGGTGGCAGCATTAGAAGCAACGCAAGCTCAGCTTCCTGGATGTCGACTGAGAGTTCTCAAAGCCAGGCTTCCGCGTCGGTTCACACCGACAGTAACACGTCCTTCGTTATCGAGGTATGCAAAGAGAAAACCACTTATTTGAATCCTTGAGAAAAATAAGCTCTATTTTCTAGGAAAATTGATTTGTTAGAAAAAAGAGAGAAGGAGAGAGAAATTTTAGATTAAATTTAAACTTTCACCACCACTCCAACTTCTATATTTATACAACATGTAGATCAAATCAATTTAATTTTATCCCTCTCTCTCTCTTTCTCTCTTAGATTTACCTATTTATCCCAAGAGATTTACTTTTCACAAGGAAAAAATAACAAGACTTTTTTTCCAACAAATTTCAAATGATACAAAAGCTTTTCAAAAAAAAAAAGAAAATGTATAAAAAAAATCGGATAAATCTTTGAAACTGTAATCCCACTACCTAGAAAATCATTATTAGACTGACAAGTGAAATGAATTATTTGTAAACACGTCAGTAAAACTGAACTTGCGAAGGAAATGTTAAAAGTGCAGCTATCGACGGTATGCATTCCGCTTTTGGCGTTTACGTCTCACTCATTCGTCGGCAAGTAAAAAGATAAAAGAATAAAATTCCGCTTTTCAGAGTTGTTTGCTATTTCAAGTATTCTTTTTTGTGTATGAAAAAAAGAAGAAGAAGAAGAAGACAAGAGTGTTCTGAAACACTGTTTCCTCGGAATTCTTTATTAAATTCAGTATCTTTCTTTTATGAATAATAAATACAACGTGAATAAGGGCCAAATGATAGAAGTAGACTGTATGTCTGCTTATCTCGACAAACTAGATAAGATAATGAATTTTTTATTCACAAATTTGAAAAAGAAACTGCTCAGGTAGAAACATATTGATAAACTTTTATTTTCAAACATCGATAAGTATGACAATTTATTATTATTATTTATCATTATTATGATTTTATCAATTGTTTTGAAAAGCTTTAACAAAAGGAAATTACACAATTTTCGTAATATTTTGTTAAGAAAATAACTGTTTTAAACTTGAAGTTTGTAAAGAAAACAATAACTAACATTTTTATCAAATTATATTATATATTTGTTAAATTAAATATTAGAAAATTCGAACAATAACCACAAATTTTCTGACTATTCCCAAGTATTTTATAATAATTAATTTAACAAATATTTAAACTTGACCAGCATAATCGCATAAATGCAACAAAAAAAAAAAAAAAAAAGAAAAAAAAAGATTAATAAACATGACTAAATGCCAAATACCAAAAATGTAAAACTCTATGTTGCAGGATGAGCAAATGGACGCCTCCGTAACGGAAACATACCTCGGTGAATGGAAAAACGACAAAAGAACCGGATTCGGAATATCCGAAAGAAGTGATGGTCTCCGATACGAAGGTGAATGGTTCAACAATCGTAAATATGGTTATGGTGTGACGACATTTCGCGATGGCAGTAAAGAAGAAGGGAAATATAAAAATAACGTGCTTATAACAAGTCAAAAGAAAAAGCACATGTTCCTAATAAGATCAGCAAAATTTCGCGAAAGGATAGAAGCTGCAGTGAATGCTGCACAAAGAGCAAGTAAAATTGCTCTTCAAAAAGCCGATATTGCCATTTCACGAACAGCAACATCACGTGGTAAAGCTGAACTCGCTGACATTGCCGCAGAACATGCTCGTGAGGATTCTGAATTGGCACAGCAAACAGCACGTCAATTTGCACCTGATTTCAAGCAACCAGGACTCGAGAGACTGAAGAATCGCGAAATTCCTAGATACGTGCCTCCATCCCAAGACAGTGTTCCTAGTAAAAGTATTTTGCATAAAGCAGCAAGTGTCGATCAACCGGGATACAGTCCAAGCAAGACTGCTAATGCTGCTGCTACTGCATTGTCTGAAGAAAATTCCTCGACATCACCAAATCCTGGTCCAAGTCATATTAACCAAACGATAAGAAGGGCAAGTATGAAGCCAGCCCATAATCAAATTCCACAACAGAACCAAGTGCAAAGCCAGATGCTCAATCAAATATCGAACCAAATTCCAAATCAGATACAAAATCAAGTTCCAAATCAGATAACAAATATGCAGTACACAAATCCACAGACATCATTATCTAGTTCGAATAATCCTTATTCGCAAATGAACAATCAATTTCCCCAATCGCAGTTAACGAATAGTATACCAAATCAGTTTCAACAGAATGCGCAACAATATTCATCGAATCAGTACATGCAAACGACTCAGGGTCAGTTTCACGGTCAGGGTAATCAATATGGACAATCGCAATATCAAAAATCCAATCAACAAGAGCAATATAATAATTATCCGCCCACAACGACAACGACCCAGGGATTTCAGAATCAGTATCAACAAGGTTATGCTGGCCAACAGGTGAGATTGAAATTTAAACCATCTGAATCATTAAATTAACAATTTCTAATATATTTGAAATATTTCTTGCACCCAATTCCCAACTATTAAATGTATTTAGAACATAGGAATGATAAATAATTAACTAAAATATCTGAAATAGCATTTGATGCATCAACTAAATTATTAGCAAATACCACAGATGTTGCAGTTGAATGCAAAATAATTATTATTTTGATAAACTATTATTCTCACAAGTTTTATTTTACACTGTTAAAAAAGTTTGGAATTTCATTATATCTTTAAATAATGGAATGCAAATTTCAAAATTTAATATTAGTGCATGTAGCATTTAGGGGGAAAACGATCACAATGAGGCATGAACATTTTTAACAATGTAACAATATGTTTTTCATAATTGCTAAATTTCATTTTTAAAAAACATTTAAGAGCATTTAAAACTTATTACATTCTATATACTTACATTTATGAACATTTTTAATTGCATTTATTTATATTACAAAATTCTACTAGCAGTGATTTCTTTATACTTGCATTAATAATATTATTATCGTAATGTTATTTCTAATCATCCCACAATTAATCTCTAATTGAAAATAACCTCACAGTATTTCCTGAATTCGTTGAACACTCAGAATAATAATTTAAATGAAATATTTATCTTTTGTATAAATCATCGAAGTTGTTTGCATATTGCTATTATGATCTCACAACATATATATATATATAAGTATATAGTTATGCTTTTCACGTATACAATGATTGTACGGTAACAATATTGATATTGAAGCACACTTCCCATTTCTAATAGCATATATGTTTGTGCTATGAATTATCGCATGTCAAATAATATTAAAAAAACGTTACTTTATAATCAACCACGAATATGTGAATCATATTTCAAGTTTGCATGTTAATCGAGATTGAAAGAAAGGTATCAGAACTTTAAAAAAAAGTTTATCATGTGCAAAATTTTCATAAATCACTCTTCTCTCTGTCATGTATAAAAGTATTTTAAAAATAAAAACCATATAATACTTCTATACAAAATATATCAATATGTTCGAAACAAGAACTTACGTATTTCATGAAATATTAATATATTTATATGGAAATAATTTTTTATAAACTAATCATGAACATTTAGTTGGGACAGTAATAATATTATCACCTAATTATTAACAGAATATTGTTTCTCATATTTCATACTTTCTGCAATTAGTAAATTATTTTAATTATTTATTAATTATTTGTAAATATAAGTATTATGTTTGACTAAAACATACTTTTATTCCTGATACTAAAATTGCAAGAATTTAAATCGGTACTTTTATTATTAATTCAAAAATTAAAAAAATTTAAAACCTTCTAAATGCTACAGAAAAAATCTGGTCTCATTTTTGCTGCAGTTCAAAATGAGTCAATGCTAAACGACATAGACAGTGGCGCCACCAACCTGACTTATTTTGAGTTCTGGTTTTTTCTGTGTGATTAAATCTGTTGGTTACATACTGATATTAAAATTGAAGTTGTTCGGTCTGATTAAAACTGTTGTATACTACCTACTGATGCCAAGTAATAATAATTCGGAAAACTTTTGTCTTACTAAAACTATCTTTTACTACTGATACCATAGTTAGAAGAATTTAAAACGTGTGTCTGAATTCCACTTTTATACCACTGAAATTTAAATAATAAAGATTCAACAAAGTATTGTCCAATAGCAATTGACTTTAACTAATGGTACTAAAATTACATACAAAAATTTGGAAATTATGACTATAACTGACTTTCCATACCGATAAAAATATTTGAATAAGATGCTTATAATATATTAAAAATCAATATTATTTTTATTATTAGGTATCATTATTGCATCCAGAGAAATTTTGTATTCAAACCAAATATAATGTATCTCAAAACTACTATTTATTATTTGTTTCAAGTACCTATATATAAGTATTATTTGGACGGAATAAAATTTATTTGAAAGAAATAAATATTTCTCTTGGTGTATATCATATATAAGAAATAAATGCGTATTCACTAAATTTTTTAGTTATTATTTTTTTCAAATAAATCAGATTTTTATATAATATTCCTAAATGAAAAATATTAATTTTAAAATTTCAAATACCCTAAACTTTAATTTTATAGATAATGCTTCCAATATCTCCAGTCATGTACAATCCCATGACTCTGCCTCAAATGAATCAATTCGGATCACAACTTTATGGTGTAAGCGACTTGAAGTTTACGAAACTACTAGAAAAAAACCCCTTTTCAATAATTAGTCTCTAATATATATGTATAATTGTTAGTTATAACCTCCGATATTAATTCTATATCAACTCCTATTCATTTAAAAAAAAGTTTTTATTAATTCATAAACATTGCTTTCTCTTTTATTTAATGTATGTTTTAAAAATATTGATTAATATAATATAAGATTGATTTGAAATAACATTTTGCAGCTTAAAGGAAAATTTACTTTAAATCAATGAAAGAAGGTAAAATAATGTGTTGGTTAAAATTAATAAAAACTTTTTTCTGAGTATTTCATTATGCGTGTTATCATTAATAATTAAAACGGAAACTAGATATCCCGAATTACTATGCATTGCGTATAATAATAAATATATCCTTTATTATATAGATTTAATGAATAGCTCTTACATGTAGATTTTATTTTCATAACCTTTAGGTATATAAAAAAGTATATGAATTTTCTATCAATAGTGTCGTAATTCCTCCCTATTACAATTAATATAATAATTGGATTCAAAAATTTATCAACATTTATATTAGATTTTATATAAGATTTTCAATCCACTAGAGTATCTGTTTTTTTTTAACAATAAAAAAGAACCTGCACAACCTACCTCACATCTTTTGTTTCTCGTGTGAATGAATTCAATTATTTTCAAATCGGAGCATGCTTCCTGTGCTACGGTAGTAATAAAAGATAAAGCTTATTCATTGAACTGTATGGAGAATTTAGAAGATATATTGAAACATATATATATATATATTACTGAAGTTAGAAAATCCAAAAAAATTTGATAAATTAATCTATTGATATAAAAATAATTTACAAATATTTTTTTAGACAATACCAAATCAGTATGGTGCTGGCCAAATAAATCAGTACAATACACAACAGCTTTATGGGCAACAACAGCAACAACAATATCAATCTGATAACATGTCAGATGGACAAAGACCATCGAGTGCAACTAGTATACGAAGAAATAGCAGAATTTTAAGTCCTCAGGACAGACCAAACATCGGTGGTATAAATCAAACGCTTAACGACAGGTAAATAATTTCTATTAATTTATTATTAATTCAATTTTTCATTAATGAAAATGAAAGAGAAAAAAAAATCTAAAAATAACTATTATTTTAAATTTCAGGTTAGATCATTATAAAAGGCCACCGAGTAGAGACAGTTCTGTGGATCGATATGCCAGAGCTCACTCTAGGTTGACGGGGTCTAGACAAGCATCTGTTGATAAAATGGCATCTCCGCCACCTCAGGATATTCCTGACAGGTGACAATTATGCAATTATACAATATCTACTGATAATAAAGTGCATGACTCAAAACTGATAAAGAAATAAGGAAACTATATCTTACAACATGCGAATTTTCTTACAACTCGTGTTTTTACAATATTATTTCAAACTAGATTTATACAGATAAAAAAAAACAATTTTTTTTTTCAAACGTCAAACATTTAGTAACTATAAATAATTAACAATTTATTATTCATAAAATCGACAATCAAATTTAATTAAAAAATAAAATATAGAATTTTGTTTTCTTTTTATGCGAACCAGAAAAAAATTAGTTTTTTTTATTTATTTGAAAATCAAAGAAAAATTATCCTTAATTTTTTTTACTTAAAATCAGAGTTTGGAATTTAAAATTAACTCAATTAGATTATACAAAAAAAAAAATTACAAGCAAATTTTTTTTTTCCGTCTTCCGGCCCTGCGTTAAATTAATCAATAAATACATTAATCGAGACTATATATATAAAGAAAATAATCTTGAATTTCGTGAGAGATATTTTTAGAAATATTCACGACGCAGATATATAAGAAAAACGAGAGGGAAAAATATTGGATCTATTTTTATAAGGAAAAAAAAAAGGAAATCGTCCCACAGGACTTAATTAAAGTGCATGATGGTTTCATTTTTTAGATCGATAAGAGGCCCCAGCGTGGCCAGAGCTGGAACGCCTCTAAACGGATCGGTGATCGGAAATGGCGCTGCGACACCTACAACCGCAACACCAACTTCCGGTCATTTTGAAGGAGCGCTACTGAGGAATCGAAGTCTAGGACAAGATATCCTGCCAAGTCCTGGACAACCTAAAAGAACAGAGAGCTTATATGTCACTCCTGCTCGAGGATCAGTTCCTTCCGGCGGAAGTGGTGGAGGTGTTGCGATCAAGGTGAGTCCAGTTTACATATTATTCTCCATTTCTCTCTCTCTCTCTTTTTCTCTCTCATATTGCCTTTACCTTCTCACAATCATTGCCATACGATCATATTATACTATATACTTGTATTATATCACACAAACTCCTAATAAAGGATCCAGTAACAAAAAATCTTCTCGGATCTTATTTCTGCAATTTAAAATTTCAATCTGATTTCTTCGCATCTTAAAGAAAATAAATTCTTTTTCAAAAATTTTCAATTTATTATAGAGAATTTAAATTAGTTTTCTTGTTAGTTTAAAAAATTGGAATATATTTTAATAATCTATATCTCGTCATAATAATATTACGTCGTAATATGTATGAACAAATATAAAATTATCGACAAAATATATTCTCAGTTGATAAATTTATATCATAAGGATATGTATATTATATATTTTGATGTAATATATGTCGAAATACTATCAATTTCTTCTCATTCTATGTTTAAGACTGACAAGAGGAAATAAATCGAATTTTTATTTATTCAATTTATTAAAATATATTCAAACAAATTATATTTAATTGATTTAATATTTAATATTATTTAATTTATCAATATTATCAATATTTATTATTATTAATATTTAAATTCTTATATTTAAAAATTGTGTAAAAGTATAATAATATTAATTTATAATTCGTATAAGTAAATAAATAAATAAATTAATTAATTGTAAATTTTAGAATAATCTCAATTTTCTTAATCAATTAATTAAAAAAAATTAATTTTAATTTCTCATGAACGATTTTTTCTATATTATAATCTATTCTTTTAATAATTACCACTTTTTCTTTTATAATATAGGTATTGAATTATTGTAAAAATATTATTGTAATATTAATTAGAATATAATATTTAATATTGCCTTAATTTGATTTCAAAGGCAAAGAAATCTATTAAAAATTAAAAATTTTGTAGAAATAAAAAAAAATACCTATTTAAATTATTTAAAATGATTTGTTCAATTTAAAAAATTCTCAAGTTTTTTTTCACTAATTATTTATAATTACACTACTAAACATGAAAAAGATATGAAGAAAACAGATTTTCAAGAACACTTTTGACATACATAGAAACCTTCAGTTCGTAAAATATAGTAAAAGTGATATACAAAGATAACTTTTTAATTCAATGTTAGATAGAGTGAAAATTAAATTAGTCTTAAATTTAGAGACATTACTAATTAGATTTTTAGATAGACTAGAAGTTGATATAGAGTTTTTCAGTATCTTCTACACTTTAAAAGGGTGCTCAAACTGAAGGTCGACTTAATTACCTTAAAATAAAAAAAAAAAAAAAAAAAAAAACGAAAAATTAAAAAATTTCTGATCTTTACATAACACAGAAATTTTTTTAACTATATGTACAAATTTGTCAAAAATATTTTTTTCATAAATAAATATATTTTTTACATTAATATCCATTATTTTTTAATTAATTAAATTAATAAAATGACTTATTAATATTAATTAATTAAGTAAATGTAGTTTTTACTTTATAAGGAATGATTAATAATTATTTATTTATAATACTTAAAATTCTATTATTTTTATCAACATTATTGAATAAAAAATAAAAATTGCTATTTATCTAAATTATTATTTTTTTGAAATAAATACAAAATTCTATTCTGTTTTATAATTTTTTTTCTATAATCTTTTATACTATATTATACCGTGAGACGGGATTATTTCGCTCATTGCGGCTAAATTCGCTCACCAAGTTATCTGCTTCAAATTATCTTTAAACTAAATTTTGATACTTCTATGAAGAAATTCAATATTTTAACTTGCAATAAGAGTATTAAATTTTATTTTAATGCTATCTTGAAGCAAATAACTTGGTGAACAAATTTATCCACAATGAAAGAAATAACTCCATCTTACGGTATTGATTATCATATAAGAATGCGATTGAAGTTAATTATAGGTATTATTTATTAATAAAATGTCAGAAAATTATTATCGATCGACAAAGTTTGTGCACCCTAAAAAAAAATTAGATTTTGGAATAAATATATAGAAGTATATAGAAACATGTGTTAAATAAAAGAAAAAATATCGATCTTAAAGATATAAAGTTTTTTTTAAAAAAGTTTCGAGTCAGATTAAATTAATAAAGAAAATAAAAAAAAATTCCAATTCGTGAAATTTTAACTGTATAAATTTTATTTTAGTCTCAATGCCTTATTGCATAAGGACTGAAGAGAAAATTCCAGCTTACATTTATATAACCCATACGATTGTATTCCTAAATCCACTTTATTTATCTGTATACCACCCATTTTTCTAAACCCATCTGTCCAAAAAAAAAGAAAAAAAAAAAAAAAAAATTTCTCTGACTTTCTGTAACTGTGTGGCGTTTTTGTGCTGTGTTCTGTGCATGCCAACCCAGGACGCAAGCCGGACGGTCCCCGCCTTCGCCGCAACAGCAAAGGGCCGCGCAACCCTATAAAGTATAAGTATCACAAAAAAGCAAAAATACATCGATATGTGAATCGACGAGCTTACTAGAGCGATTCAAGCCTTAAAGAAAGGTTTCATCCTCTCTTAAAAAAAAAAAACTTTCTGTCCTGCTACAAATACTCGCTGTGTTATTGTTGCACTGTTCATTTTTTTTATATATATATATTATCAAGGGAGTATATTTCGCACACAAAATTATCTCTCCATTCTCACTCAAATATCCAGAAATATCATTATTTCTTCTCTCAAAAAATGTATGCCTACTTGATTCACGAATTTCTTTTTCCCACACATACTCTCACACTTATATACTAAATACAAACACAGGGAAATATTTTCTAAAATAAATGCAAGATTCATTTAATTCTTAGATTACAATACAAAATCCGTCCTAAATAAAAAGTTATGCTATTTAATAATAATAATAAAAAAAAATAACTAAACTAGTAAAATTAAGTAAATAAACATTTTTTAGAGTTTATTAATTAATAGAAAAAGTAGATAACGTCCATAGTTTGAATATATATATAATATGATTATTAATAATAAAAAAAGAAACAAGTGAATCAACTGTGCATATCATTTTCTTTCACTATAATTTTTTGGACCATGATGTTCTATAGGTGGAGATATTTAACTGCTGATCTGATGAGTATATCTTTCTTTATAAATATACACCCAGGCGTATACGTTTTTTCGCGCATAAATATATTATAATTTTTATCGAGCGATAAATCCTCGGCAAGTGATTATTTTTCTATGAAATAAAAAATATATATTCTTCTCAAAAAAAAAAAAAAAAAGAATTTAGAATCAATGGGGAGTTATCGCTCGCGAAAATTGCTTTCATATGTCAATCGATGCAAATGCTTTGTACGAACTATTTTTGTTTTCCAATTGAACGATCAATGTTATCAAATTTCAATGTTATCGGGGAAAATTAGTATATATGACTATATACTATAAGCACGATTCTAAATGATTCAAGCTATCTAAAGATTCGTGCCTCCAGCGATCAAGAAATGATCTGACTAAAGAAGATCTATATATATAATAGTTCAAATGATCCTAATACGTGAGAGATAACGGAAGAGACTACTACCATATGATAAAACAATAAAATGCTCCAAAAAAAGTAATTAAGATTCAACAAGTTTTAATTTGAAATTACCTTTATATAGAAATCAATTGAAATTAAAATTTTCATTTTCAAATGAGAAATTATAATTTTTCTTATAAGAAATTTTGTTTCTCTTTTCGATTATAACACATTATATACCTATAGAGATGAAATATGAATTTTTTAAACTCAATTAAAATAATTTTTCAATTATTTAAAATAAACATTTTTTTCAATTATTATTTTTAAATTTTCTTCAATTTCAATATTTTTGAGAGCATTGTACGGTTCCTTATATATGCAGAAAAGTAACAGATGCCATCCAATTTATTTCTCTCAATAAGTCATTAATGATATTTTTCAAGTTCTGAAAGTTTTAATTGAACGAAATTTTTTATCCACAGTATTTAGAGAAAAATTACTTTTACGTAGATATATTGAAGATAAATCTCGGATAATAAATAATTGTAATTAGACAAATTTCTTTTTAATTAAAAAGAAACAAAATTAAACATTTATAATAATTGATGTTAAATGTATAGGACGCATGATTATGTTCTAAAAATCATTAGTCATAATTTACATTTTATCGAATTTTATTTGTCCCAATTAGTTTTGAGCCGAATTTTAATTTGTTCGAAATAGCATTTGGCATAATTTTCATCAATCCGATTTTCTATATGACAGAATTTTTATATAACGGAAAATTCAACTCACAGAATTTTAATTTCTTCGAATTTTTATTTGTCAGAATTTTTATTTGCTCGAATTTTCATTTAACATAATCGGCATTTTAAAGAATTTTTATTGGGTAGAATTTCATTGAATAGAATTTTCATTTAGATGAATTTTCATTTATTCGAATTATTATTTGATATAATTTCCATATAATCGATTTTTCATACTACAAAATTTTTACTTAACCGACAAATCATTTAATAGAATTTCTAATTGATAGAATTTTCATTTGTCCGAATTTTCAAATGGCCGAACAAACAATCGACAGAAAGATTTCGGCGCGATTTTTAAAATCAACCAATCAAAAATTATTCATAAAATTGTGATTGGTTGATTTTAAAAATCGCGCCGAAATTTTTCTGTCGATTGTTTGTTCGGCCATTTGAAAATTCGGACAAATGAAAATTCTATAAATTAGAAATTCTATTAAATGATTTGTCGGTTAAGTAAAAATTTTGTAGTATGAAAAATCGATTATGTGGAAATTATATCAAATAATAATTCGAACAAATGAAAATTCATCTAAATAAAAATTCTGACAAATAAAAATTCGAAGAAATAAAAATTCTGTGAGTTGAATTTTCCGTTATATAAAAATTCTGCCATATAGAAAATCGGATTGATGAAAATTATGCCAAATGCTATTTCGAACAAATTCAAATTCGTCTCAAAACTAATTAGGACAAATAAAATTCGATAAAATGTAAATTATGACTAATGATTTTTAGAACATAATCATGCGTCCCAAATGTATGATAAGCATAATATTAATATGGGTTCACTTTATCTAAAAAATATTTTCTAAAACTTGACTTTGAAAATAACAAATATTCGCATTTAAAAGTTTGATGATGAAACAGAGTATTTAATTTTTAATATTTTTTTTTGTTTTCGTTTTGATAGAATAATTTTAATGATCAACTGATAAGACTTTTTAAAAAATTTCTTGTGGAAAATAAAAAACACTTTTATTCGAAAAAAATTTAAAAATTGAATTTAATTACAAAAAATAAAAGTATATAGAATAAGAAAAAATATTTAGAAAATATTTGTTTAAAAAAGTGTATCCTATTCTATTATAATTATTTTGATAAAACATTTTTTTTTTTTTTAAATAAAGTTTAAATTCAAAATAAAGCAAAGTAAATTGAAAAAAATTATTAACGTGAAAGTATAAATATTTCATTTAACGTTCGAAACTTGACTAAAATTCATTAATGTACCTCAAATATAATAATTATATGCGCATTTACATGAATGCATATAAAAGTCTCACAAATGGGACAAGGTAATGTTAAAAATCGCACATAAGTTTTTAGGATTGTGCATGTAAACACAAAAAAAAGTGAAGAAAAGTACATTAGTGCACTACTTGTATAAAATGGTATATGCGTACTCTTATATAGTAAATTACATGCAAAGATGAATGAATGTTCGATGAATCTCGTTCGATATATATAAAAACAGAAAATATAGAGAAAAAGTGAACGGTAAGGTTGTATTCGATGTGGAGGCGGGGACCAGTTTTTTTTGAACTTTTTCTACTTTTTTTACCCTTACACTCCTTATTCCGACCTCTTACCCAGATATATTTGACCTTGTCCTTTTAGAGCTTTAATCCAGATAATTATATTAATGTTTTATTCATATATTAAATTATGACCAGAGAAATTACGTTAGATTTTCTTAATAATATTTTTAGCACTTATTTGAGTCTATTAATTGGTGATATATAATATTATAAATATCAATCCTGATAATATTTTTTGTTTTTTATTAAAAAAAAATCAAATGCAAATGATCCTTGTGCTTTCGAATGAAAACCGCGTCTTCCACCTCCACACCGCTTTCCTATTTGTCAGAGATTACATTATTTTTCTAACGCATGATCCTACAAATTAACGCTATTATATATATTGTATATTGTATAGTCTTTACATTTAACCTTGTTGATTCCCCAGGCTCGAATTAAACTTTTATTTATATTTTATAATTGTTCACATAATGTCATGTTTGTATTTGTGAATGTCTTTAATTGTCAAGAAAAAGAGAATAAAAAACCTACACTTTAATCATGTTAAAAATTATGAAAATATTCTCTAACAAAAAAGAAAAAAAAAGAATTAAAATGTGATATATAAAAAAAATTAAACAAAAAGGAAAGAAACAGTTTAAATTAAAAATTAATTTAAATCACTGGAAATGTAATTAAAAATCTAAATAAAATTAATCATAAAATATCGCGAATAATTTTCATTGCAACAAATCGTTTGAATGAACCGTTTAAAAAAAATGTTTAAATAAATCATTTAAATAAGTTAATTAAATAAATAATTTTAAGAAATATGCACAAATTATTTTTCAATAAATTGTTCTGCATTGTAAAAAAATCCTTATAAACCAAAAGTACCTTTTTAAGTTTATCGAAAATCATTTTGCCAATGTTTCTTAAAAAAAAATCTTTCTAAAAAAAAAAATAGTTTTAAGATTTATAAATTTTTAACTATTTTCAAAATCGACTGTATTTAACTCACCGCACGGAGAGAAGGGCGTAGTAGATCTTACTACTATCTCAGTTAAATCTACTAAACAGTATCGTTCATTTTGGACGGACTAAACATTCAGTTAAATGAACGATACTGTTTAGTAAAAAAATTTACACGATTATCGATAGAAAAAAATTTACCGACAGAAACGAAATGTAGAAATCTGATTGGTTGTCCGCAATCTGGTTAATTGTGGACAACCAATCAGATTTGTGAATTTTTATTCTGTCGGTAAATTTTTTTGTGTGTCAGAACTATAGTAGTCCCTCTGACTACGCTGTTTAGTAGAATCTGGACTAAACGTGTTTAGTAGAATAGACTAAATCTCTTCTCTCCGTGCGGTTTGCGAGACGAGCAAATGATTATGTCCGTGCCTTTATGAATGAAGGATATAGGTACCTAAAACATAAAGAAGAAAAAAAAAAGTGAAAATATTAAAAATCATAAAGAAAATTGAATAAGAAAACAAATAATATGAATCGGGTGTAATTAATCCGCGCCTGAGTACTTAACACTTATTTTCAAGCATAATATATAATTATTTCAATTGACTTTATATAAACAACAGGGCATCAAATCATTATCAGTTTCATAAATCTTAAAAAATTCTCAATTATAAAAGATAAAGTATATACTTAATTATTATTATGTAAAACTAGCAATTATGTAAAAAATTATACTTTAATAAGATAATTAATTTTTACTGTAATAATGCACTATTAGCAATTAATTAATAGAAAATTCTAAAATATTAACCAGAATATATGATGAGTATATTTATCATTAAAACTGTATCGTCAATGCATAAAAAAAAAAAAAAATTCTGTCTAATAAAATACACAATTTTGATTCGATGTCCTGCTAATGGTGTCTTACATTCTATACATATATTTAATAAGTGCATAATATAAACATTAAATATACATAAATATATTTTATGTACAGCTTTATTCATGTTGCGCCTTTGTAATAGGTACCTTTAACTATGGAAATTGTGAGAAAATTATATTGTAAAGTATATATATCTATTATATGTATATACTGCGTAACAATATAATATAATATATATAAAATGTTTACATGTAATACACTAACAAAAATTCTACAGGGACATTTATCGGATTTATTAACAATCGATAACAACTATGCCTCAAGAAAAAAAAATGTGTTATGCTACGTTGTTATAACAATAGCAACGTACGTTTTAAGTACCTACATGTGTAATAAGCACTGTCTAAAAATACTGAAAACCTCATCTTCCAAATAAGACATTTTATTTAATGAAAATAATAATAAAAAAACAGCCTTATAATTTATGACGATGAAGTTTGCAATGTGAACAAAAAAAAAAAAAAAACAAAAATTTTTTTTAATAAAAAATCTTTAATTTTTGTCTGAAAAATATTTTATGCCAACGTTTATTGATCAATAAATTTTGAAAAATATTTTTTCAGACAAATTCTATAATAATAATAATAATTGATCATAAATACGAGTTGATAACTTCACCGCTATATGAATTTATTTAATAATTCAGTTATATTCTGTACTTACAAATGTAGAGTGTACAAATATGAAATCGGATTATAATTTTGTAATACATTTTACTCGTAAAATTAATTAACAATATTTAATTATTATTATATTTAATTACTAATACTACTAATAAAACTCAAAAATTAAAATTTAAAACAAATTTAGTTGGATTGTGATAAATGAAAAATGTTATAAATAAAACCATTTCCAGTGTGAACTCTGTAACTATATATACATATATATATAGATAATCCTAAACCAAATACGAGTACCTAAAACTTATTTAGGATCAGAACTCTCTATTGAATAAATTCGTAACTATAATATTCGTAAAGTGTTGTTAAAAAGATTTTTTTTTTTAAATACAAAACATTTGAGCACAAAGTATACCAGATTTATCCTTTTGCAGATTAATAATTATTAATATAATAATATATAATATTATAGTTTTAATTTATTGCATGAAAAATATTTTTGAAAATTCGCTAAAATCAAAGTCTAGGACTGATAATTATTTTGCGATATTTTTTAGCAAAATTATAAGTGAATTTAGTAAACTTAATTATAAACTTTAGCTAATTTAGCTGCCCCCATAGAAAATCTTTTTTCCAAGAGTTAAAAACTTGTTCTTTACCATTTAAAAACCAAAAAGAAAAATGTCGAATTAAAATCGATATAAAATTGAGTTTTCTATTTTGTACGTTGTATATTTTTAAATTACATTTTTATATGTATTTTGCCATTTTTGAGATGTGTTTTATGGTATTTTTGAATGTTGAGATATATTATGATTTACAAGGACATGTGATAAATGTCTCTTTATTTCTAAAAAAAAAACTTATATAAGAAATTATAAAAGAAATTATAAAAAACGAACACGTGTGATGCATAATCGCCTTAATTCAATGGGTGTCTACTGCTTTTATACTGAGCGAAAGCACAACTTTAAAGTTTTGCAAAGAGAAAGCTTTATAAAAGTATTGTATATATTAATATGTAAATTTTTTCAGATATGCCCAAATGATGAAAAACATGAAATGAAAGATTCTTTAATTTTTAAATTTACATTTTTTATATTAAGAAAAAGAACTTAATTTCAAAACGAAATCAGATTTAACTATTTGATAATAAAACAATCTTTTATTTAAATTTATTTTATTTTTTTTTGGTAAGACTGCCAAATATATATTTTTTTTAAACTATATAAATGGAAACGAGGGAATCAATAAAAGAAACTCGAGAGATATGTAATATTATGTACAAAGAAAAAAAAAAAAAAAAAAAAGAAAAACGACACAAAATAATTAGTTTAATTTTCACGTAATTCGTCAAAAATAATATCTGTTAACAGTTTCATAATAACAGTACAAGTAATATTATATAAACTTATATTCAAGAAAAAAAGAGTCGACAAATTTTACAAGTAAATTGAAAACTATTTTTTTTCGAATTCTTATATATTATTAAAAACGCCCAAGTGATTATGCGAAAAAGAACGATAAAGTGCCAAGTTTCGTATATATGAAATGTCTTTCTTCGCGTATTTAATGAAACATATACACATTAAAACCAGTTTAAGGAGGATGTAGCAAATAATATGAGTCATTTGGCTTTGGTTTATTTTCTATACGGGAAAAAAATTACTTGCATTATACTCTATATATAGAAAAATATATATGAATAATTTTCATTAATTTCTATATAGTAAAACCGAGGAAGTTAGATCAGTAAAATTTAAAAACTAGAAAAGTTAATAAACTAAAAAAATAGGAGGCTTTAATCTCATTGATATAATAATCATGAAATAGATAGTAATTTAGTAATAATTTTTCTCTTTGATGAAAATATTTTTTAAAAAAAGCAGTCTTAACAAATACTATTACAAATGTTGTTCAGTATATTTTTAAACATAGATAATTTAAAGAGATTTAATTAAAAAAAGTAAAATCTTCATTGCGTACAAAACAATGCAATTTTTAATAATCATATTGTTTTTATTTTCATTTTTCCAAACTACATATTTCAAATATAAAAAAAAATTTATTGTTGTTAAAAATAACTTAAAAGAAACCACTGTTATTTGTGATTTAATATTTTATAGAAAAAACAAATAACTACATTTTTTCAAAAAAGACAAAATTTTAACATACAATTCGTTATTATAAAAATTTTTCATAATAACTAAATGAAATTTATTAAACAAAAGAAATTAATACAATAACTAAATTAATGCTGATTATTAATATTTTTAAATTATGATTTGTTATTATGAAAATATTATTATTATATGATTAAATATTAATGAGACTCATTTTCTTTGGTATAAGCTATATTTTCCTACAATCGTAATGTGATGAACAACCTTCATCTCCTCTTTCATTAACCTACTTTCTTGAAAATTTATCAACAAACTATAAAAAAAAAACAAAAAATTCCTAAATTTTTACTTCGATCATTTATCAAAGTGAGCCATAAATGTCGTACAAATTAATCACATGCAATGTAATTAATAGAAATAATAAAAATATATATATGAAGTGATGCGTGTCGACGTTGATTTAATGTATAATGGATGTATGTTTCTAGTGGAAATAAATTATGCAGAACAAATGTACAATTCACTGTTAAAAAAAAATCTATATACTCTGAACTTAAATCAGTATGTTTATGTTACGTCGCGCAATAAATAACTTTATTCACGAATATTTGACAGAAAATTATTATTATTAATAAAAATTGCCTATATATAATCGTTAATTTTTTTAAAGATTTAAAATCTAAATACCGTAAAAATGATTTTTATACGCTTTTTGGATTTGAGCACTTTTTAAAATTCAATTTTAATTTTTGTATTCAAATTTATTAGAAAAAGTAGTAGCAAAATTTTCTTTTATTTTATGTGTAGTGCATGAATATGTAAAATTAATTTAAAAACTTTTTTTTTTATAAATAATAAACATTTTTTTGTTACAATGAAACATTGACTATACAAATAAAAAAAAAAATTTCTCTTTCATAAAACTGGATCAAAAATAATGGACCATTTTTTTTATATACAAAAATAATGCAAAGTTAATTCAACTTTACATTTTTGTTTTTTTAAATAATAAACAAAATAAATTTTTAATTGAAAAATAATTCAATAAAAATGTGATTAATTTTATTTTTAACATTCTGCAAATATGTTTCCCAGTGCAATTTTTTATTAGTCTCATATTTATTTTACATAATTCTCATCTGAACAACAATATAATATAATAATGATTTTTAATTTAAATGATTAAAAAAAAAAAGAAAAGAAAACCTACATATGACGGACACGTGCTTTATTTTTTTTTAATTTAATATCCCTCAAAGAAATATATTACCATTTAAATTTTACGAAACAATGTTCATTTGTAAATGTTCAATAGTGTCTCGTGCCAAGAGTAGTCGAAATGGAAGGCCACCGAAATACAGGAGAGTATTTTCTAGTAAAGATAATAAACATACAAAACGTATATTGAATAAGCTCACTTGCAAAAGATAAAGATTGATCTCGTCTTTTGTCTGAAAATATTCAACGATTGTTTTTCCAATTTCAATTCTTAAATCATTATTAAAAAATTTTTTTTAAAAATACTTTGACAACAAATTTTAATTTCCCTATATTATTAATATGATTATAATAGTTATATAACAGTCAAAATTCTACTTTTATTCAAAATTATTTAAAAAAAAAAACCCGGAAGTATTAACAAATCATTTACATTCTTTAGAAACAAACCCAATTTTTTACCTTCAAAATCATCTAAAAATACAAAGCAATACATCACAGTGTCCTCTGGCCTATTTTTAAACGAATCGAACAGCACAAAAAATATTTAGAAACATTATTTTTCCCCTATTTTTTTTTTTTTTTTTTTTATTTTTTTTCTGATAAACATTTTCCACGTGGGAAGAGAGATGACAAAAATTGCTATTTTTGTATATATATAAGCTTGAATCAAATTTGATCATGACAATTTTTTTCCTCCATTTGAAAATTCAATTTTCAAAATTAAATATAAAAGTATTTGTTGGCATTTTCATATTGTTTTCTTAAGAGGGCCAAGATAAATGTCAAGTTCACCGAAAATAAAAGACAAATACAAGAAAGAAAAATGTAATTCTCTCTCGCAGTATCCATGCGAATTTTATATAATCGATAAGAAAAGAACATCAGCATAAAAAAGAAGAAGAAGAAACGAATTAAATTTTGGAGTCAGATAAAAATGTTGACACTTGAATGATTAATAGATTCAAAGAGAGAGGTTGGCAACATCGTATCGTCAAAGCGTCGCGACGCTGAGCTATTTTTTTTTTTTTTTTCTTTTTTAAAGAGTAATAGTGGGGCGTCACTCTATTTCGGTCGGACCCGTGCAGGGACATTCAGTCTGTGAACAAGCTTCTTCATCAGGAGTCGCGGGAAATTGAAAATCGAAATCTCGCGGGGATGATGTTTCTCATAATCTCGTGATGAGGTCGCCCCAGAGAGCAAGTCACTGTTGAAAGTCAGCGACGACCTCAGGGTTGATCGCTGAACTTGTTTCTAAAGTTCTCATTCAAGGACATGACATCACAAATTATAATGGACATAGTGATAAACAATAATAATAATAATAATAATAATAATTTAAAAATAAATGAAAAAAACGACAGAATCATCGAGAATTCGTGAAATATTAATTTGAATTAGATTCAAATTTTTGTTTGTTTTTCTTAATAAGTGTTAAAAAGTTCACAAGAAAGACAGGAATTGAGGAAAAAAAAATGTTTTACACGGAACAAGATGAGGAAGAAGAGGCGCTGCTTTGCAGTCCTGCTTTAATGGCAAGAAGAGCATCAGAATCCTGGATTGTTGCTCCTCCTGTTGAGGTATTAAGTCCTTGCTCTAGTTTATATATACTATATAGAAGAAAGACCGGATATGAATTCTGGCAACAACTACCACTCAATGATTCTTGTTTCCGATTCTGAAGAAGTGATGATAAATCGAAATTTTATCGATTATAATATATATATATATATATATATTATAACAGTGAAAAGTTAAAGGTCAACAAATCATATATTTTTCTTTCGGGAGGTCAATTAGAAAAATGACTGATAACTTATATAGCCTATTGCGTGATATGGCAAAATTTTTATTTTTTTTTTTCTATAATGCAGTGTCATCAGAGAAGGGGCACGATACGATGATAATCGACACGCCTGAAAGGACTCGATTATACTTATAAATTTCTATATCGGGTCATCATTTCTTTTCTATATGTACTAATCATCTTTAATATTTTTCTTTTATTACAAGTCCATTAGAGATTGATAAGAAAAGACGATGAACTTTTCAGTTCAAAAGCAAAGAGATTATAAAGACACATGCAAGAAGTCGATTTTTTTTCTCTATCAATATCAATTATAATATCAATATAATATAATATAATATAATATAATATAATATAATATAATATAATATTATATTATATTAATATTTGTCAATAGTAATAATAGTAATAATAATAATAATAATAATAATAATAATAATAATAATAATAATAATAATAACGTTCAAAAGCCGAAAGGTATATGAACTATGAATAATAATAATAATAATAATGTTTGTGAACTTATAATGTTGACTTATATATATTCGCGGTTTGTGAATTTTGGGAGTTTGACTTCAAAAACAAATCATATATAAATTTGTTACATTGAAAACAATTTCAATTTAAACCAATTTATTTTTGAATTTGGATTATTAAATAGTAAAAGTATAAAAACAAAGCACAATAAATAAATAAATAATTACTTTTGCATATACTGTAGTAAGAAAAGCACAAGTGTAGTCATAGGAAAGCATGCGTTACGCATAAGTTTGTCTCACTCGCACTCATGGACTGTGACTACCATGGTACTTTTCTTACTGTATATGAATATTTTTTAATTTAATAATATAGTTTTCTAAAGCGAAAAATATTAGATACAAAAAAAGTAGGTATACACGCGGTAAGAAAAATAAATGTAATTTAACTTTACTTTTCCCTCTAACTTAAAAAATTTTAAACACGCACGGAACTGTTCACACAGGTGCAAACTTTCTCTCAGTAATATAATTTAATAACTATGACTTTTATTTTTCAAATAAATACAAATGTACATTTCTAACTATTATTATTAGTTATTATAATAATAAAAATATTTTTTTGTTTAACTTTAACAAATATTTTGTCAAATATATGACTTGGAATTATTATTTTGTTAAAAGACTATAATTTTATTGAACACTATTATAACAGTAAAAATTGTTAATCTCTTTTTTTAATGGATCTAATTTGCAAATATAATTTATTAGATTGAAAAAAAAAATTGTTCGACTTCCCCTCAAATTCACATAAAGAAAAATTCATTAAATACATTGATTTACTTATAACGTGAAATCCTTAATTTAACGTTCCATACAAATTGTTTATGCAACTGACAATTAGAATAAAATAAATGGCAACATAAAACCTTGTATTTCATATCTAAACAGTAAATGTCTCGATGGAAGTTTTAATTGTCGGCATGCGGAAATCTCACATAACGCGGATACATATAATAGGAATCAAGAAATAACATTTCGGTTACGTGCGTGTATAGTTGTCATTTTTTGTATCATTAACATCTGAGTTTTTTTTACTAAACCTTTTATTTATTCTTAAATAGCTCAGGAAAAAAGATGCGTAAAAAATAAATAAAAATAAACAGTATTTTTATTCCACTGTATTTAATTTATTTGTATATCATTTTACTAATAAGTATAAAGCAATTTTTACTTATATTTATATTTCAAAATAAAAGTAGGTACTTAAATAATTTTATTTTGAAAATATCTAAAATAAGGTCTATATGCGCACATATTGCCCTTGGCTTTTCTTTCTGACTAAATTTACAAAATTAAAACCTTGAATTAATGAATAAACTATAAATCAGTTAATAATAATTACATATAATAATGGTTTATTAAAAAAAAAAACTTAGGTTGAATTGTTTTTTTTCACGTGGTCCTTCAACAAAGTAAGGTTAGAATAAAGTAGCTATTAGAGTGATGACCGCAGTCAAAGTAAATACTATATATGTTCAATCCGCGCATATATAAAAAGTCAGTGAGTAAAAACTTTGTAAAAAAAATAGAATTTTTACAATTACGAATTTATACCAAATCGACTAAAAACTAATAACAATATATAAAAAAAAAAGCTATAAATGAATTTTCAAAAAAAATTTTTAAACCTTTGCTCAATGATTAAGAAAAATTAAAGCATGTTTATGCTTTGGCAATTCGCCAGAGATTTCGTTCAACAAATTACAACTGAACACGTAATTGTAGCTATTGGCTGGGCACAAGATTCGCACAGTTTAGGAATCAACGTTTCCAATTATAATATACCTAAAGGCACCAATTCTGTAATCATTAATTAGGGACTGTAGCAATTAAACAATGCGACTACATATTTTACAACCTGTTCTAATTTCATCAAAAAGCACTTCAATAATACAAGAAGGCAATCATTATTTTTACTAAATTTGCGGGTATATTAAAATCAAATAGTTAAAAAATAAAGATAAGGAATCACGAAACATATTTAAGGAAAAAAAAAATTTAAGAACTTATCAGAAATTTGTTTTAAGTAGCATTAAAAAAAAAAAATTATCATTTATAGAGATGTGGGAATCAAGACCTTAAAAAAACAAAAATTTAATTTCGAGAATAATTTTAATAAGAATAATATTAATGAATACTTTAGCAAGATTAATGGAAGAATTCGTACATCTCTAAAATTATTTTCTTTTGTTTTGCATCAATGTGATTTTTAGTAAGGTGGATATATATATTAATTTGTAAAACGTATTATTAAAATGATATTCCTTTAGTGAACAAGACTGATCCTACAACGAAATTCCTCTCCTTGTTTAGGCAGTGCCAGTGCCCGCAGTGTCCCTGCAACGAAAAAAATCCTTGCCGGATGTGGCCCAACCGATCCAGTTGACTGCGACCGCTCCATTATCTAGGGAGGAAGTCAGCAAACTGAGCAGCTTGAGGCGCGAGGAAATTCGCAGGCAAATCGACGAAAGCGAAAGGCTCCGGGCCAATCCTCTGCTCTACTTAGTCAGTCCTCAGGTTAAAGTGAGTGTCACGAGAACGAGGACGCCTTCCTTTCATCTGGCACTCGTTCGTGAAACGAATGAGAACAGATAAGAGAGACCTCCCAGCATTGTCACACGGGGTTTTATTGTTTCCTATATAACTTAATATAACGATAGAAAAAAAAAACATATGTCACGAAAAACAATAATATCCCCTCCTGAGAACACCAATTCCCTAATTTTTTAAAAACAATTGAAAATAAAACACAATTTTTTAGAGTATATCACAAGAAACAATTGAAAAAAATTCTCTAACTCTGAGGATGCTATTTATAGAAATATCATATTTTTCTTCGATACATACCTAACGCAAAAAAATTATTCGAAAATATTTCAGTAATAATGATACCTACAAATTTCATCAATCTCCTATAATTTAGAAAATAATAATTTTCAACAAAATTACATTTGTAGCTGAAATATTTTTCTTGTAAATAATTTTTCATAAAACAAAAAAACGTCAATTTATAAAGAAAGATTTCAACAAATTAGGGAAAAGTTTCTATTGTCAAAATCATGACAGTCAATAATGTAAATCCACTTTATATAAAATGTCTATATTTAAAACTGCATCTACATGTTTATAAAAAAAAAATTATTCACTTAATATAAAAATTAAAGCGAGAGTAAAAAATATTTTTAAAATTAACTAAAAATTAAAACTTTAAATCATCAGTAAATTTTTTTGACACCGTTACTAACAAGAAGTTTGTGCACGGTGTTATAACAATCGAATTTTAGCATAAGCTTATATATAGGCTCCCTAAATGCACGATTCGCTTTCCCTTATTTTATCAAATATCCTCAACCAAAGTCCGCCAATTTAGTTGTAAAAGTTATAATTTCTATTACAATAAAAACAATTTATTTATTTCATATGGGCGAAATCACGTGAGATTTCCGTCGACCCTTTAAATTCGGCCAAATATATTTTTTTCTAGTTCTGTAGTAAAAAAAAGAGATACGTATTTTTTTAAATTTTTTGAAAAAATTTCGAGTTATGAATTTTAAAAATTTCAGTTTCTTCAATGTAGACCTATTTTCAATGGCTGATAACTCGGAAAAAATGGATTTTTTCAATTTTTGATAGGAAAAGAAAAGTTTCAGTTTTTCTTTTACTTTTCAATAATGTTAACAAAAAATTTTTTTTTCATTTTTTATTAAAAAAATATTTATTTAAAAAACATATACGGGCAGCAAAATATCAATTTTTTATAAAGTTTTTTTTTAATTTGGATACATTTTTTTAATTTTTTTTTTTTAACATACCTGGAAATAAGAAGAAAATTTTGCAAAAAAATTTAGAGTGGGCCGATACGTTTTATAGGTTTCATTTAAACACCGCGCGCAGCATTTTTCGCATTTTTGAAAATAAAAAAAATTCTAAAATTGTTAAAAATTATTTGATTTCATTTTTCATAGTATGCTAAAAAAAAAATTTTTAAAATATCATATCCAAATTAAAAAAACTTTATAAAACAAGGAGGGGGTCCTTTATGTTTATTTCATAAACATATTGCTTCCTCATTGTGTGAAGCAAAAAATTTGCTTCCTCGTGAAGGAAACTATGAATTTCTCCAATTCGATTGATTAATTTAAAAAATTTCAAGTTAAAAACTGTTTTAAATTAATTAAATTTTTTGAAAAATTAAGAAAATTTTAATTAATTTTGGGTGTAACATATACTTTATATATACATATCGATTCGTTTCAATGCAAGGAATACAATTATTATATTTATTAACTTGAATTTTAAAAAAACACAAATTTTTTTTATCTCCAATATGAATGTTCGATTTATCAATTTTTATTAATTCTTAAATTTTAAATCAAATCTATACTTTATATATACCAACCAATTCGTTTCAATGCAGAGAATAAAAAATTATTTCATATATAAACATGAATTTAAATAAACACAACATTTTTTAGTATAATGTGAATTTTTGATTATTTAACTTTCATTAATTCTTTAAATTACGCTCAAATCTATACTTTATATATATATCAATCGATTCATCTTGACGTAAGAATGACGATTATATTATATATTACCTTAAATTTTTCGATTTAAAAATTTTTTCAATTATTAAAAAAAATTTTTTGAAAAAAGACGATAAAATTTTTTTTTTTGGGTATTTTTAAAAATCCTCTCGTCATTTTTGAGAGATTATTGTGTTAAAGAAGCCTACAAAATTTTATTCAAATCCATTAAAACCTGTTAAAGATATCGTGTTCACAAAAACGATCCCCACATACACATACATCCGGACAATTGATCAGGATCTCATATAACATGTTTCTATATAGAGGAAAATTTGTTTTTACCATTTTTAAAAATTTTATAAACGTAAGGACTACAAAGCTTCCTCCACGAGGAAGCAAAATTGATATTTTTTAAAATAAAAAATGAAAAAAAAATTTCTTGTTAACATTATTGAAAAGTAAAAGAAAAACTGAAACTTTTCTTTTCCTAACAAAAATTGAAAAAATCCATTTTTTTGGAGTTATCAGCCATTGAAAATAGGTCTACATTGAAGAAACTGAAATTTTTAAAATTCAAAACTCAAAAATTTTTCAAAAAATAAAAAAATACGTATCTCTTTTTTTTCACTACAGAACAAGAAAACATATATTTGGCCGAATTTAAAGGGTCGACGGAAATCTCACGTGATTTCGACCATATACAGATCAATATGAAAAAAATAATGAAAAATTTTTTTTTTTTAATTTCAGATTTTGGTTTGTTTATATAAATGATTATTAATTAATAAATTAATTAATCAAATTCTTTAAATTGAGCAAATTTTATTTTTTCTGGGTGTGATCGAATTTATATTTAACCGATGTTTATAAAATGGAATTTATATTAAATAAACTTTTCCACCAAAATAAATTTTATTAAATTGAATTTTTATATTTTACGAAATTTATATATTTATCGGATCTTCTATTTACATATGAAGAAATTCAATGAAATGTAAATTCTGACATTCGAATAAACTTCATTTAAGTAAAAATTCTGCTAAATAAAAATTGAGGTTAATTAAAAATTTCTTTAAGAAAAATTTCTTTAAATAAAAATTCTTGTTAATACAAATTCAAGTAATTAAAAATTTCTCTAAAATATAGATATTCCGCTTTATGAAAATTCTGATAAATAAAAATTCAATGAACTAAAAAATCAATTATGAAAAATTCTGATAAGAAAAAATTTTGTTAAAAATAAAATTTTCTTTTAATAAAAATTCTATACAGTGTAAAAATTTCGTTTAAATTAATATTAATTTTATTTTATTAAACTCAGTTAAATAGAAATTTGTCCTTATTAAAATTCAATTCATTGGAAATTCAAACTGATGAATTTTAGGAAAATATTCAAGATTACATGAAAAAAGAAAAGAAAAATTCTTCTTGTATTGAAATTAATTAAGAGTTTTATAATTAGCAATTAAAAATGAAAGAATAAGAAAAAAAAATCAAGAATAGTTTTCTTTTTCTTATAAATAATTATCCACTTTATAGAAAAAAAATTAGTGAAAATTTAAAAAAAAAAAAAAAAAAAAAAAAGTATAGACGAATAAAATATATTAATCAAGTGGACAATTACTTGAGAAAAAGAAAAATCCTTATAACAAAAAGCAAGAATAAAATGTGTTTTTTTTTTATAAAATTTCAGGACTGGTTTTCACGACAGCAGCTTGTGATGCTGGTACTCTTTATCAACATATCGCTAGCTCTGATGTTCTTTAAATTGTTGACGTAGCAACCCGCCAACGATTGGATAAAACGTCGTGTGCTGGACGTCACTTGAAAGTGACCTCATCAGTTCGCTTCATGAATACCCGTGGCAGACATGTTTATATACCGCTGAAAACGGCTTTTTGAAAAATGGTCCAGCGACGGGCCAGTAGTACCTCACGCGGCGGGGTACGTGAAGAAAACGTCGAAGACAGAAATATTTTTTTTTTTTTCACAATCAAGAGAAAAATGGACAAAAATATTATTCTCCACACACTAACATATACACACTTTGATCCAAATATGTGGAAGAATTTTTCAAACGGGACGTTTGGTCACAAAAAAAAATGATGAATAGCAATTTTAAGAAGAAAACAAAAGAAACAAATAAATAAGATTCAATTGTTTCTTTTACTACATATATTTATAATATATCTATACAATATATACGTCTCCAAGAAAAGTGACAACAAAATTGGGACATTTCTCGAGAAAATCATGTTTTCGCGAACGCAATACTTTTTTCTAGTCGACGACGAAATGTGTATACAATTGCTCTTGCAATTGTACTGTATTTTGTACCCGCGGGGATTTAAAAAAAAACGTAAAGCGATAAGCACACGTCCCCCCGTGGGTTTTGCGACATACCTACTATTTTTACACTGAATATTTTAATAAGAATTGCATTCTATACTATAATCGAATTCTCAGCATTAACGATTTCAGTCGATCGAGGGGGCGAGTATAGTGTTCAGAGTGAATCAAAACAAAAATGTATATCAAAACTTTTCCAAAATAAAGAGAGAGAGAAAAAAAACGCGATGCTTAAAACAAATTCGCTACGTTCAGTGATTGGTCCTTTGCTATTTATATTATATATTAAACTTGTATAAATTAAAATATAAAACAAATTTTAAAAAAATTTATTCAAATTCTTAAACTTGGACCAATTACTCATCTCGTGTGTACATTTTCTAATATATTGAAAAAATTGTATAAAAAAAAAAAAAAAAAAAAAAAACTATGCAATGTAAAATAATTAGACTCGTTTTTTTCAATATGCTAATTGTTCATTTCAAAAACAATAATTGTGATTGATTTGCACAGTATATTTTATATCTGTATTGTAAATTGTAAACTTAAAAAGTCAGCAGATTATACATTATATTATTATTTACATTTATTCTTCTTTTCTTCCTTTCCTATATCATTTAACAATAAAAAAAAGAGAAAAAAAAACTAATTGAGATGATAATTTTAATCGTGAAAAAAAAATAATAGCGCGTTATTGACATGAATTGTAACAAAGAATCAATTGAGACGAGAAAATTTATTACATTGAAAATTGTAAGTGATTATTCTAGAAATAATTATATTTGATTAACAAATAAATAATAAAAACAATAAATATATAATACAATACTAACAAAGTTTCATATCTTATCAAATTAAAAATCAATGATTTAACTCAATTTCGCGAAATTTTGCACAAATGATTAATTTTAAAAATATATATTACCTATATAAAACATAAAAACGTATATCGTATAAAATTTTTTATAATATTCTGAGTGCCCAAATTTTTTATTCACGATAATCCTGCATTAATGATAATCCGACTGATTCACTCTGTACTATGCACCCGTTTATAAAATGGTGTGATCGACTCGAACGCAATGACAAATGCAATTTCGAAACTATTTATCTAACAATATAAATTGCGTTACGTTGCAAGACTTAATAAAATTTGTAACGCATTATTTATTCCGCGTAGAATTTTGAACACAAAGCCGCAAGACGGCGGAATTTACAAATATTAAATATTTAAAGGTATAAATAAAATTTATTACTCGGCTACTGTAAAGTTCATTATTAATGCTCAGTGCCCAAATATAAATCAAGGGAATCACAAAATTATATATGCAATTTCAGTGGTACTTTTTTTTCATTGACTCGTTTTTAATAACAATAATAATAATAATTATTATACATTTAAAAAAACATTAAATTTTAAAAAGTTTATAATTTATACATATTCTTAAAATTCGACATTAATATTATTTATTCAAGTACAAAAAAATATATCACTATTTTTGTCTAATGAAAAATAATAACATATTTTTAAATTGATAACGAAATGTTTTCGTCATAGTCAAGTTGAAGCGAAGAAAAAAATTGAAACAAAAAAAATTTATAAAACGAGTGAAATAAAGAAAAAAATCACTAAAATTTCAATAAAAATTTGCAAACAAAAAGAAACTTTTTGAAAAATTTTCTTAAGAAAATTTTGAATGTGGAGGTGTTACGCGACGTGCATTTACATAATATATTGCACGAAAAAAAGGCTTTCTTGATACCTACAATCTATATTTACATCGCATTTCTGATTCTGTACCAGTTGAACAAAATAAATGGTAATTTTCTTCAAAAAATAATCCACTTATCAATGAAGAAATATATGTAACATATAAACATAAAAAAAAATCTTATAATATTTGCCTAAAGTTCTGAACGTTCAAATGAACTAAAAGTTTACTACTTTTTTAACTTCAAATTTTATTAAAAAATAATTGCCTTGTTTCCAAAAATAAATTAATATAATAATTTATTAATGTAATTTATTTTTTTTATTCATCATTGCTGTAGTAATTTTTAAATAATTTAGAGATCAAAAAAATTATTTCATTCATTTGAACGTTCAGAACTTCTAGCATTACTTATAATATAGAGAAATTAAGGAAAAAGCATTACGAAATAACTGCTGCTTATTAAAATATAGTATTGCATGAAACGAATTGGTCATGCTCATAAAAGAAAAGAAAAAACGTAGTTAACTGACATAAAATTGAAAATAATAGCCAATAAATCGTATTGTAATAATATAGTTATGTTATTCGCAAAATTAATGAAGCCAAAGTTATTACAATTTAATTAAAGAACAAGCTAAACCAAGTTCAATATTAAAATAATTTTCTCCAAATAATAAAATGTTTAATAAATTGAAAAAAAAAACTATAAAATAAGTAGATAAATAATTACTAACAATTCGATAGTGATTTTTGTTAAAATATAATAATTATTATTAACTATATAGAAAATAAATTCTTTTTACGAATATTTTTCTCTTTTAAAAGGAAATCAAATCGTATATTTAATAAGAGAAAATAATTGGTACGGAATCATTATTTGATAAAAAAAATAAATAAATAAAAAAACGTAGCTATCGCTAGTAAATTTTGTATCTTATTAATGAAATGGTAGCAGTCAAGAAAGACTTTGAGGACTAAAACGATCAAGGGAACAGTTTCCAGATAGGAAAATGAAAAGAATGTATGATAATATGAATGTGAGTGTGACAAAAAAAAACAAATAAAAGTTTATGAGAATGAAAGAGTGAAGTTAATCGATACTAATTTTTTTCTTTCTTTTTTTTTTTGTTCATTAAAATCGTAAAGTACCGCGTGCCTTCTATGACTTCCAATCCATGTACCGAGAAACTTTTCTACACAAATTGCATGTCACGCTATATATACAATATATATATATATGAAAAAAAAATATATATCTACGTACTCGAGTCGAGATTAAATTCACGACTTAAATATCATATACGGCCACTCTTATCGGCTTTCAATATTGTTAAAAGAGTTTAGATGTGCGTTTTGCGATGAGCGTCGAAAATAATAATATTAATAATAAAAAAACGTATTCTATAGCGCAAAAAAATATATAACGATGCTAATTCTTAATATATATATAATTAGTATATGAATTTTTCAAAGAAGAACGATTAGAAATCGACAAATAATGACTTTTTTTTATACAATATTGTAATATAGAAATTTTGAAACGACTGGAACGTTTCTAGACAAAAAAAAAAATTGGTAATTTCAGCCTTTCGCGAGCATATACAGCGAAAGGCTGTATTTGTTTTATACGTGGGCGAATTTATAATAAAAGAAAATTATATATATATAAATATCTATATTTTTTAAATTCTCAACATAATGAGAAAAACTTGGATTTGTTTTTATTTACGTATATAGTATACATAAATTAATAAGATATACGTAAATAATTTATATTTATGTAAATTATATAGAAGATTTATTGAAATTTGAGATATTTTAATGTTTTCTCGCTTTGTTGATTTTTTGAAGATTTAAAAAAAAAAAAAAAAAAAATTACGTCAATTTGTCCATGTATGAAGACAAATAAATTAGTATAGCGATGATCGTTACAAAAGTTCATGTTCATTTGGATTTTGTATAAATTTTGGATTAAGAGATGTGAAATATTGTCTTAATTATAAAAGCAAAAAATTTATATAGCTAGACATAAATTTTATCTTTATCAATTTGTTTAACATTAATTTAACATCATCTGTATTAGATTAATCTTTACTATTTTGTTCTAATATCAAAAAACATTTTATTTGAATCAAGAGAAATTGGTTTTAATCAAAAGAAAAAAAAAGACACAATTCTTTTTTGTTGCAACGAAATAAAAATTTTTCTCAATTCAAAATAATTTTCTTCGATTCAAATAAAATTCCCCTGATATAAAAATTAATTTTCTCTGTTTCAAATAAATATATGCTTTCTTTATCAAATAAATGTCTTTGGTTGAAATAAAAAAATCTTTTATTTTAATATACGTCCTTTAATTTAAATTCATTTTCTTTATTTCAAGTATAATATAAATGTACTTTGAGTCAAAAAAAAATGTTCTTTGATTCAAGTAAATTTTTTTTTGACACATACAAAACATCAAAATTTTTCTCAATCAGGGAAGCAAATAAAAGAAAAGAATTTTTTTATTTTTTATTTAACATAATATTATTTCTCTAGATATGATTAAAAATTACTAATCTTTAGATAATTGTTATTAACCATGTAATCATTATTAATATATATATATTATTGTTTTCTTTATCATTATTTTTTATTCTTATTTGGAAATTAAAAAATGAAAACGAGCAAAGTTTTTTTTAAGGCTCTTAATCCATTTATACAATAATGCGAAAAAAAACTTTGAAGCATCAGCGCGAAATAATACTGAAATATATTGCTGGCGAAGCTTTTATCACGAAGTAAGCACAGCTTTTTTTGTAAATAAACCAAGATTATAAAAATTACATTGTACTTGGAGCAGTTTTTTCTTCTCCAACCACACGTTAATTGGAGCAATGCAAGACACGAGGATGAATTCTCAATGAAAAAAACTAAGGTGATTCGGACAACATAGAGCCGGAAGTATTTTATGTTACATGTGAGGTTCAAGGCTGTCGAATCATACTGTATTAGGCGTGTCAGGGACGTTTCTTTAAAATGCCAACCCACGCAATACAAAGGCCATGGCACACACTTTTCATCATCTTCTATAACAATGAACTTTATTCTCTGAACAAGTTATAATATTATGTAACAAAACAAAAGGTGAATTGGAATATTTTCAAAAGCTTCTCAATAAAATGTATATTTTAATTTTATATTTTATTGTCAATATTTTGTTGACATTTCTATTCTACAATATTAAATAATATTGTTCAATCTACGCAGTTTCCATTTTACAAAAGTGAAATGATTGCTCAATACATATTTATATTTGTATATAATTTCTATTTTATACAAGTTAATAATTATTTAAATGAGAATTATTTCAAAAAAAATGACTCGGATATCATTATTGAAATTTGTACATAAATTAAACATTTTATAATATTTATGTTGATGTAGTTTGAATATTTATAATTTTGAAAACAAAAATTTTAAAGGAATTTCGAAAAAATTTATAAATAATGAAAATTTGGAATTGCTATGGACTATACCTTTTTTTAAGCTGATTGTTAATTTTGTGAACATGCTTCAAAAGTGTGTACAAGGGCCTTGCAAAAAATTTGTAGATATTAATATTCGCCGAAAAGAGTTCGACACCATTGACATTCAGCTGCGCGATAAGTACAAACTCGAAAAAAAAATGATGTACATGATATTTTGAACGTTCTCAAGAACAAAAATTTGTATTTTATCTTTTGTTAAATTTGAAATTCACGAAATATATATAATAATTCACTCATAAAATATATGCTTAATTCATTTTTTTTATATTCTATTGTAAAAATTTTCCACTACTTTCAGTTTAATATATTTCTTTATTTTTAGATGTAAAATTAATTTTAATAATTATAGAAAAACACAAATAGGTAAATATTGTTTTAAAAAACAAAGAACAAATTTTCTTCATAACGTTCAGAATATCAGGAACATTAAAAAAATGTATAGTATATAAAATTTTTTTGGAAATGTGATTCAATCACAGACATACATCGACCTTTATTTGATATACTAAAGAGGGTCGAATAATTATACGCAGGATTAGCGTAAAAAAAATACAATTCAGACTTGCATTAAAAGAGAATTATTTGAATTATTTTATTAATCATAGAATGATTTCTCTAACTGTATTATTAACTTTTCCACATTTTTTAATAAATAAAAAAATAATAATTCTTAATATCATATAAATGGTACTATATTATAACTTTCCGAATTGCATAGAGTGAAATTTCACATTTTTTCGAAAAAATTTAGTTACTATATAAATAATAGTTATAGAAATAATGAAATCCCTCCAAAGAAGTATTTATAAAACCCGAAAAGTACACTTATTTCGTACATTATAAATAATCAAATAAGTATTATTAAATAAATATGAAACGAAGATAAACGAAAGAAATCAATATGATTAATTAAAAATAATTTCAATCATAATTGAAATGGACAAAAAATTGATGCCAACAATGATACAAGAAAAAAATCGATTTTGAAAAAAGAACAAAAAAAAAAAAAAAAAAACAACTCATTTTAATTCAAGTCTGAGTAGCTTTATCGAATAGTATCCATATATTATAAAAAAAACGTACGCACAGAATTTAAAGAAAAGTTAAACTAAATTGTATTGTAAAATATGTTGTAGCATTGAAATGCTATATTTCCGAAAAAAATAAATTATCGGAAAAGGTAATTGAATATTTCATATTGATATGAGAATAAATGTTTAGAAGGGTCCTATGTGAAAATGTTTATGAGAAAAACTATAAAATAGCGTTGACATTGTTATTCATTTTATCACGAGAGCCATATCACGCGAATCAAAAAAAATTTACCAATACGTACGCATATGTATAAATATGTATCATATGTATATATATACACATGTGTATGCGTGTACATAGATTTATAATGATTCAATAATGAAATTGGTTTTGCTATTTACTTGCTATATCGTATATATATTTTAATTGTTATCTCGTTATCATTGTATATTATACTGATTATAATTATAATAATTATTATACTATTATCATCATTATTATTATTCCTATACAATTATTAACGTTAAAAAAAATTATTGTCTCTTTTGTGATCATACTGTCATACAAGAGGTGTGTCAAAGGAAAAATTGGAGATATGAATGTTTTGAAAGAGTTGGGTCCACTGTCATTGATATGCAAGACCAGTGATTCAATAAACTTGTATCATAATTCACAACATGTTCATTTATTTTAATTACTGTAATCATAAACCTTCACCGGGTCAATTATATATTGCAATTAATTTAGATAAAAGTACAATAACCTTTCAAAATTTAAATTAGCAAAACATTATTAAATAAAAATTCATCTTTGATAAGAGGAATTTTTTTTTTTATAATAATAATAATAATAATAATAAATTATCCAAACAACTTTTGGGAAAAATTTTAATTTCAACTTCATTCATAATTTCTATTATTTTTTACGTTTTTTTAAATGAGCCAAAAGTTTTGAACGTTCAAATGAACAAAATTTTTTTGCAACTTCTTTAAGTACGAATTTTATTACAAAATATTGATTTAAATATATAAAAAGAAGTTATTAATTTAATATTTGTTTAATTTACTGTTTTATATTACATTGACATTATAATAGTTTTTAAATATATAGTTTTTAGGTTCTAAAAAATGCATAAAAAAATAATTGATAACCCTACTGAACAAGGTAAATTTCAATTGGTTGAAATTTAATTGTTGATTCTTTTTAATATTTAACTTGTTCTACAATTTTTATTATTAAATATCGATTTTTTTAATTTAAAGAAATAATTTGAATTTAGAGATTGAAAAAACTAAATGTTTGAATAATATTATTCAAATCTATAACTATAAATTCACCAAAAATCGCAGAAAAATGATTGTACTTGGAAAATTTTAGTTAACAATGCAATCTGATGAAATTGGTATCAGCCCATTTACGAAGCTTGTGTTATAAAAAAAGTGTCGAAGGTCGACAACTCATAGTTCGGTACGTTGACGTTGAACCGTTAATTATAGCAACCAATATGGCATCAATTCATAGCAACGCGAGCAGTGGGCATTTTCCATAGTTATATGCAGTCACAAGTGCAAAACTTACTGCAGACAAATGTTATTCTAGTTTAAAAAAAAGAACACATCTCCTACTTTGAAACTCTATTTTTAGCAAAACCGCCTTTTTATCTAACTTGAAAAAGGGAAAGTCACCCACTATGGAAAAGAAAAATGCCATATAATATAAAGAAACAAAAAGTGACTAAAAAAGAAAAAATCGTATACGGACCATAAGCCCAAAATATAAATAAAAAAAATAGGTTTAGAATATTGACGTCAGCCAATAAATAACAAGAATGCAAGCACAAATTTGCTAACTTGCAATAAAAAGCTCTTGCCTCACAATTTATATTTTTAGCATCAGCTTGGTCTGAACCTGATGAAATATTATATAACGATTTATTTATATTAGAGTTATATATACATATTGAACAAAATGATAATAATAGCGATGGATTCATTATAAAAATTTTAAAAAAATTGCTTGAAATTATTTCCGTTTCTTTCAATAAAAAATTATATAAATAGAGAAAATTTTTCTTTAAGTGTATAGAAAAAATTACTTTTTTTTTATATAACAAAATATTGTTAAAATAAATTACCCTAAAAAATTTAAAGTGAATTGTTTAAATATAATTGAGATAACACTAACATAGGGTTGTTGACTTTAAGTCTTGTGATTAATCTCTATAGTGATTCTATTCTTGTCGATTTAATCTTTTTTGATTTATTTTCATCATTAAAATATTCTAGACTCTCTGCCTTTACCTCCGCATTGGTTATTTCCACATTCGAGGCAAAAATTGAGGAAAAAATAATAAACAAAAAATTATTAATCATCAGGGAAAAAGAAACGAAAAATTAATTAAATATACTCCATCTGTGATGTGAAATAAAATTAATTTAAAAAAAAAAACATTTTATCTCATTATTTCGAAAAAATAATTTCAAAAAATTTTATATTAAAAAAAAATAACAAAATTTCAATTTATTATTATCATTTTGTTCTCAATTGCAAAAAGCAATTTTGCGCGTAAAGTTTATGTATAAACAAGATGAATTTCGTTCACACATGTATATTTGCAAATGTCCTGAAGCATCAGAGGGACATAAATTTAATCTCCTTTTCTTCTTTATTTGAAGCCGCAATTTATAGAGAAGATTGCTTTCCTTTAAGCCAATGTTTCATCATATCGTTTATATAGGTGAGTATTTACATAACAAAGTTTAATACAATGTTGAGGAAGTATTTAATCAATGATTTCACCGAGTGAGTGCACGTGGATGATTGATATATGCGTTTTAAAGAAAAGTAATTTTAATTTAATAGAAAATATTATATTTTAATGTGTGTTATATTCCGAGAGTTTAAAGTTTGTAAAATTGATCAATTGAGAGGGAAGAAGAATATCATTCGATAACCCGGAAAACGTTAATCAGTATAGATTGGCCTCGTTCGTCGCCCTGAAGTGATGTCGAGTAAAGTGAGCGCAAAACTGAACGCTCAAAGTGAGCGCGCGTATACACGTGCGTGGTGCTGACCTCGCTCTGTCACGCATCTACCACATGAAGAATATATATAAAGAATCAAAGAAACCCATCTAAGTCCTATAGCGGGATGCAACACTAAATTCATTATTTATTGCTCAAATATCTTCCACGTACATCCAATAATTTAACAGTAATCATCAATTTATTCAAAATAGACTAAAATAATATATTCAATTTAAAGTTGAGATCGAATTTTATACGCAGAAATAGAATATGTTTATAAAATTTGTTATGGTGAATATTATATTTTTTTTTTATTTATTAACATATTTGAGTGTACCTATTTCTAATTGAAAAAAATTATCATTCATATTTGTTTTTTTGTAATTCAGTAGCTCAATATTGATAAATATTTATTTCTATGCAGGTAATTCAGAAAAAAATTATTTTCATCAACAATTAATTTCCATTTTCAATTTAAAAAAATAAATAATAAGAGATACAGTTATTTATTGACAAATAAATTATTCACTTCCTTTCCATTTAAATATTGGATATTTGTTTAATAATTTTTAAAATTTGTTTAACTGAAATTGATAAAAAAAAACATTCAATGTGTAAAATTAATAAAAACACAAATAAAAAAGAAAAATAAATTAATAAATTGTACAAAAAAAAAACGTAAAATAATTATTAAGCATTGTTTTTTAAAAGTAAATTTTAATATAAAATTTTCTAGCACGAAATATGAATATTGTTAACTGTGGGATGTTAATAAAAAACGACACGTGTTTCGATTTTGAAAGACGCGCAATTTCTTTTGCACAGCTCTATTCCACTCTGTATCCCCTCCATAATAAGAATTTTCAAACTTGTATATACAAGTTCTAACAATTTATTTTGCATTTCCCTTTCCTCACTGATAAAATAATTTAAATAAAATTAAAAAAAAAAAAATAAATAAATAAAGCAGAAACACATATATATTGCGGTGCTTCATTGCACTTTCTAAATAATGAGAACACACGCGATTCCCTGTCAATTCTAAGACCTGTTATAATATATAAAATGTACACGCGACAACACGCGGCTCAAGCTCATTAAGCTTATATATATTCTGATCTCGTATGACACAATAAAGTGATGCGATAAATTAATGACTTAAAATCGAGACGAAAAGTTACTATTTCTGGCATTATATTGTCAACCATAATAAATTAAACGCAAGCAATTTATGTCATTATGGAAAAATTTTATACTTAAACGAAATTTAAGAAATAACTTGACATTATATTATATTTAATTATATTATATTAATTATCTCATAAATATTTATTTATTCAAATTATTTAATATTATTTAAATCCAATTATCTTTTATCTGAAGTAATATAATTTTGAAAATTATTTGTAAAAAATTTCTTTAAGATCAAAAAAAAAAAAATAATTTTGATCAGAAATTAATATTTTAATAATTTTTTTTATTTTAATTAATATCGTTAATTAAAATTAAAAATATAGTATTCAACCTTATATTCTCGTAAATGAAATAATCAACATTTTACAAAGAGCATGGAAAATTTGAATGAGAAATTTTTGTTGAAAATATAAGAAAATGGTAGATATTTATTTACACTGCAATGATTGCAGCTAAAATCTGGATTTTGGCCAATGAACTTTTCTATACTATAGGTAATTGCGCTGTTGGTCGAAAATGCGCGTACATCTGGCTTCCACGTATTTCCTCATCAATTTGTTGGCGAACTCCGATTTCATGACAACGACAAACGGGAGATTCTAATGTTGTACATGTATACATATATATATTCACTGACACGTGTCTAGGAAACATGTGCAAATGAATATGTGTCATCACTTTTCTATATAATAATACTCAGAGCTCCGAAAATGTTAAAAGCGTATTTCAAAGTAACTGACAAAATGCTTCGGTCTTTGAACCCAAATGATTCTACCTTTTGAATATATAGAGAGGCCCTTAGATTATTTTAAATGTCCCTTACACATTTTATATATAACAACGCAATTTTTTCTCATATTAATATTGATTTTCATCAGAGAAATATAGTGTTGATAATTTTTTGAAAACAGGTTATTCAGAAAATAAATTGTTTTTTATAATGTTGAAAAAATTTTCACTTTCATAAAACAAAAGAAACAATAAAAAAACAAATATTGAAAATATTTTGAATGCAACGAAAAAATTTATTCACAAATTGAATATAGATATATGCAGTATATATAAAGAAAAAGTGGATGAAAAGTTACTAAAAAATATTTTCCCAAATTGAGGAAGGATTAAATTTTTTTTTTTTATTTGAAAGCGTTTATAAAAAACGATATTTTATCTCTTGTGTATATTTTGTATTTGTATCTCTTTAAATTTATTGAAGAATAATTGTATTTATTGATTCGCGAAAAATTATTTAATTACATACTGTTGCATATTTTATTTATTAATTTCTTTATTCTAATATCTAAACTAAATTCTAGATTAAACAAAACTTTGCAATTTAGAATTTCTGTATTAGAATAATGAAATGTCTTCTCACCAATTATTGAAAACATAAATGTAAACGTGTGAATTGCACCACAAACACATAATTCTTTATTCTCAGGAATTGCAGTTCATTGTGCAATGGCGGGAAACAAGCGTGAAAAAATAACTTTATTTGTCTTATTTGATTTATTTCTATTTAATAAATAGAAAATAAAAATAAATAACTAATAAAATTTTAATATTTAAAATTAATTAATTTTTTTTCCAAATAACTTGAATTGATTTATTGTAAATCAATTTTTTTAGACAAAATATTTTCTGTAAAAAAAATTTTTCTTTGGTATATTTTAAAACTACATTAAAAAAAAAGAAAAAAAATTTCTAGTTACTGATTAGAAATATTGAAGGTAAATATTTGTCAAACTACTTGATAACCATTTTATTTGAAATAAACATTACGTAATATTCATTCAAGCTGTGTAAAATATTTATCAATGAAAATAAGACAATAAACGCATATTCTTGACTTTTGGTTAATATCATGTACTATTTTTTATTAATATGTGTGAGAACTAGGTTTTTTACTAGTGTGAAAGGGCATTTGAAGTGTCACTCTTTCTTTTTGAAACATTATCTTTATATTGCATAAAATGCTGATTAGACAACGACGCAATAAGTAACAATCTAAAGAGTATTGTATGTTTCAGTGACGATGAGAATTATTATTCAGCAACGACTCATACCCGGTATTGTATTCTAATATCAACTACCTGCACTGACTTCAAATCATAAATTTCGTGTGAACTTTACTGTACAAATATCAACGATAATATTTTGATATTGTTATGCTGCACCTCTTTCTAGGTCACATATACAATTTCTTTAAAAAATGCTAGTTGCATTTCAATATAGCAAACATTTATTTTTTCACGCGTCAATTTATTTACAATATATAACCATTGTATTCTCACTCAAACAGATTTATGTAAAAATAATTTTAAAAAAATTTTTTCTTGTAAAATTTTGAAAACAATCATATATAGAATATTTTTTTTATATATAGAAAATTTTTCTTGTAGAAAATTGATTTACAATAATTTAATTTCATCTAAAAATTGAAATATAATTATCTATATGGGTGATTCTCCAGAAACGGGTCACTTTTGAATAAGGAATTTTTTTTTCAAAATTATTTAAAAATACATGTTTATTGCATCCTTTTTATTAATTATGATTGGAACAAGTGATTCTAATAAATATTTGAGCTTAAAAACCGTTTTTAATGTAATTTTAACGATAAATATGTATTGTAGTACTTTCAGCGCAATAGCGTAGCAAGGGCGGCCGGGGCCCCAGGCACCATTGTTTTTGCGCAGACATGTAATTAAATTTTTAATATTTAATTTTTCGAGAACAAAACAATAATTTCTTTGCAAAAATTAATTGTTTTGTAGAAATTTATCTCGGCTTTTTTTTATAAAAATAGAGAAAAAAAATTAAGTTTCTTAAACGCAAGGGAACTGAAAAGCTGAATGACGGCCCTGTAGTTGAGTGTCGTTTCTGCTCGCGCGAAACTTGCGCATGCTCAATAAAATTTCGGGGGCCGGAGTTGAGAGAGCTGGAGTTGAGAAACAAATGAAAAACATTAATTACTTTGTTAATTAAGGACTAAATAAAAAATCCTTTAGGGATTTTATACAATTTTATTACTTTTATCGATACTATAGGTTGAAATTCAAAATTATTTTGAAAAACGATTGTTTTAAACAGGTTCGGAGTTGAGACATAATAAAAATACGCAAATTGTATTGTTTAATAATATAAATTTAAAAGTTAATTAGTTAATTAGTACCGTTGATTTTTATTCAATTGGGATTTTTACACATATTTATCAAAAAATTGCTTTAGTTACAATGAAAATAACAAGCAAAACCTCGAAAAACTAGTCAAATTCTCAACTCCGGATCCAGAAAAAAATTTACGAAGAAACATTATAAATAAACATTTTTTTATTTAAATGGACGAAAAATTAAAAACCCTTTTAGGGAATAACAGTTTTTCAGCCATACTTTAAAATGACTATAATGACAAATTTTATTTTTTTAATTTTAATGTCAAAAATCTTATTCAAAAATAGCAAAATCCATGTGTGGAACGAGCAAAAGTATATTTTTAGCATATTTCAGATGACAAAATAAATTTTGGGAAGTAAAATATCATTATATTGATAATGAGTTTATTAAAGATCATTAAAATGAAGAAATTAAAAAAAAAAATAAACCAATTCTAGATAATATTTATTAACTAATTAATCAAAGAATCAAAAGTGACCTGTTTCTGGAGAATCACCCATATAATATATTTGGTTTATAAATAAAAATTAACTAAACAAAGATTAATTATAAATATAGAAGAAAAACAAATACCTAATGAAAAGTTAAAAAAATACTTTTATTGAATATAATATTTAGTTTTTTTTCAAATAAAGCTCAATAATTTATGAAAGTGTTACTAAAAAAATTTTGAATAGTTTAAATTAAGACAAAGTAAACTTAATACATATTCAAAATTTAAATAAAACAACAATGAAAAACAAATGAATGAATATTGTGTATTGTCGTGTTTACTTGCAAATTGGACATTTCTAATTAATTTAAATGAAATTAGATAGAGCTATTAAAGTAAATTAAGTCATTTGATTGAATTAAAATTAAATTTTTATTATATATCTTTATAAGATCCGTATGAAATTCGACGCAAAAAGGTAAAACTTAATTGGCAAATAATATCGACGCAAAAATACAAAGATATAAAAACGAATAATTTAAAATTAAAATTTTGTTTATACTTCCGATTAAAATCGAATATTTTAAAAAAAAAATAAAGAAAACTATGACGTTTATGTCAAATTGTATTATGCAATTGTTTTTTACTCTTTTGTTATAAATATTTCTGTTAATTGATATATAAAAAAGAGTAAAAAAAACTAAAGTGCGTCTAGAATTTAAAAAAAATATGATTGATATTCTAATTAAGAATTTTGGAAGTTAATAGAAACATAATCGTATACACATTTTTTAGAATATTTAAGAAATAAAAATTTATATTTTCTTTCTGCCCACTGGTTTGAATATATATATATATATATACTGCGTATAATATGTGTTTTGAGTCATTCCACACAGCTCATTTAGTATTTTATTCTTTAGAAAAATTTTTTAATTTAAATTGATCGTTGACCCACTTTTGAGAAAATAAAAAGTTTCTTAAAAAACACATAATAATTAAAGTTGTATAGTATGAAAAACAATGTAGAAAAATATTATTCCAACAATATTTCTGTCGACTTTGTTTTTTGTTTTTCATGATAATGATTATAGATTTAAGTTAATACTTTCTAAAACTGATGCAATAAAACTCGATTTGGTAATAATGTCTAGAAAAAAAATGTTGTACTTTACATTTCAAAAGAAAATCTTGTATGCAAATTAGATTTTGTTATTTCTTCCATTTATATTTTGTATTTAAATAATTTTGAAAAATTCTATATTCCTTTAAATTTATTTGTTTTTTAAATTATAAATTAATTTTTTTTACGTTAAAAACTAATTAATAATTTAAATGAAATGAAATATTTTTTAAACAAAAAATAATTCACAGAAAAGAATTTTAGATAATTCATTTTAAATGATCACGTGGAATTATTATTTTTGCAAAAAGTGATAATACATATATCTACGTGGAATGACTTCTTAATTTCTGATGTTACTGTACTTTGCACAGAACTTCTCGCCAAGATTCACTATGCGGAAGAAAACAATTGCACTCAAACTATAAGAACAGTTTCTGTCAGTGCACACGGGAATATAATTATTAAGACAACACGTGTCTTCATTTCAGTATTCAACACGATTAGGACATATTAAACCTTAGAATATCCATTTTAATAATCAAAAGACCTCGGAGTAAGACGTTGTCACGTCAAAAAATACAAATAAATATTTTGTAATAAAATTTTTCCAATAAATTAAAATATTTACCTTAAAAACAAATTTTCAGCTTCAGGAAGATTCTTTCAAACTAAATAGCCCTCGGAGATCCCTACTTTCAAGTTAAATTTCCATTCAGAAAATGTGAAAAATAACCGTAAAAATAGACCGAGTTCTAAAAAGTTTGCAGTATGGAGAATTCTGTGTCCTTTAAGATATCATTTTTTTACTTTCGTCCTTATCTTTGAAGTACATGACACCACAAGCAATCGAAAATAGAATCTAAAAAAAACATACACATTTTATTCGATTGCATAATTTAAAACAAGTCAATTATTGTAGACTCCACAGTCTATAACTCTGAGAATTTAACTTTCTAGTGTAAAAAACAAAAAAAAAATAATAAAAAATTAATAAATAAATAAAAAATACAAAAAATTTTTTTTAATAAAACAGAAAAAGAAAGGAGTAAAAATTGCTTTTAAATAAAAAAGAAAATATTTTTGATGTTTTATTAAAAAAAAAAAATTTATAACAGTCTTTTGTTCTAAAGTTTATTTTATAGCAATACTATAAATATAGATAATAACTTCTGACTAGAATATAAATTAAAGAATTTATGTCCAAAATATCGGAAATTTTATAAACTTTAGTTTCACATTTATTCAAAACCCAAGAAATCATTTATTCATGAGTAACTTTTCACCCCCAATTTAATTTCCTCTGAACCGCTCAAAAACCATCACATTTTTTCCCCTCCTATATTATAACCATAAATATTAATCCTTTATATAAATTAGTTTATGTTACATATGAAATATTATAAATCTGAAAAATAACTAAACAATATATAATTTTAATTCTTCGAAAAATCCTCATCCAAACTAAACACATCAATTCTGAAAATGATAATTGAAAGAAATAAAAGTTAAAATAAAAAAAAATAATTGGAGGTATTTTTAGATTGGAAACTTCAATATAGAAATATTCATACAAAAGGCTGATTATTTATGATAAACAGTTAGTTATCATATGGAAAGGAGGATTAAGAAAGTGTTACTTAAGACTTCTTATCAAAGGCTAATTTCATATTCGATAAAAATCTTAATGAGTAACTATATGTACGTGCATGATGCGCATAAATATATATATATAATTATGAAAAAAAATCAAAGAGTTCAAGCACATGTACAGCACTTGCTATCAGTTCATAAGCGTGTCTGAACAGGACTTCGCGTGTTCAAACCCGAAAGAGTTAGACCTTTTCTATAGTATGGTTTTCCGCAAAACTGATTTGTATCTCTATATACTAGTTCCTCCCACATGGACGGCTATAGTTCCTAAATAACCCCTTGACAATATTGTTTTTAATATTCTCCTTCTTCTATATATTAAATGAAAAGAGACATATATATATTAAAACAAAATGACAAAATCATTTCTAAAATAAATAAATTATACACGATAAATTCAAATCTTAAATTAAACTTAATCATGAAATTGAATTCTAATTAAAAATTAAATTCATTCAAAAAATAATTAAAAATCTTATTTTTCATTAATTAAATTCAGAATTATTAATTAACTGAACTTAATTATTGTTATCAGAATTTAATTTGTCTTCATAAATGCCAATAATACTATTTTTACATGGAACAACTAAACAATTCTGCTTAAAGAGTTTTTAGCTCTGAGAACATAAAATGGAGAGCGAATCGTGATCAGAGTATTATTTGTTCTCGAAACACTTGAAATAAGCTTTACCCTTTGTTGCCTAAAAATAGTGTTCGCAGTAAAATTATTTGATAATTGACCAAAGTCTTTTTAAAACAAAAAAAAAACAAAAAAAAGTAAAAAAGAGTTTCTTTAAATGGTTTAAAAGAAAGTACAAAAAAATAAAAGCCATATAATTTAAAAAATACAAAAAGTTTTATGTGAGCGACAAATAGAAAATTCGCTAAGACTTAAAAGGCACATAATTTGACTTTAAATGTATTTCTTTAAAAATGAGTATTTAAAAATAACATTGTTTAAATAAGATGATATTTGAAATTTTATGCTTCTATTTCTGCCATGAGTAAGCAGAAAATTAATTAACTTTTGCAAAATATGATTCATATAGGTTATTTAGATTTATGAAATTCATGATTTTCAAATATGAACAATATATGATGCTAAAAAAATTTCAATTTACACATTATAATTTAATAAATAAATATAATAATACTAAAAAAAGTAAATTAAATTCTTACCTATTTCAATAACAATAATTGCTCCATGGGAAAACTGCATCTAATTGCTCACTATATTCGAGTCCTAAACAAAAAAAAAGTAACAAAAATAAGGTTATTATGCTAAAAAATAGAACGCATTTTATATTCTTAACGTTAAAATTATAAACCCAGCCGTTGTCGATTAAAACTTGTCAAATGTAAAATACTTAACTGTAAATAGACACGTGTAGTAAAGATTGAGTATATAGTTGTGCATTAAATTCTTACTTTCCATTAACAAATTTTTAACCACAATAAAGAAATTTGGCTGAAAAGTTTACCCTCAATATTTGAAAAAGTTTAAGTATTGCTTTCATTAAGAAAACAATATTACTTGAAAGTACTATTTGTTAAATACAACTGCAAAAAATATTTTTTTTTTAAGGTTATGCTGATCTGAAGTCTGAAAATTTTTGCAAAATCAATTAAAATTAACATATTTAATGAACCAATTTATGTTTCTAATTTACCTGTTTAATCGGAAAAAAAAATTTGTTTGATTACTTTGGCAAATAAGTCAAATTTGACTTATAAAAAAAAAATAACAAACTGAACTTATAAAACACATAAAAATTTTCAACATTTTTCTAACGGTAAATGACAAAAACGACAAAAAGATCCCCGCGTCTTTTAACCAAGGGTTGTAAAAACTACCAATGCTACCAACCTTAGAACAAATTTTTTTTTTTTTAAATTAAAATTATTTTTTAAACATTTTTTGTTACATTATAATTATTAAGTAAAATCTCTAATTAACGTCTTTTTAAACATGTAATTATTGAATATTGTTAAAAAAGTGCAAAAAATCTGAAAGAAAAAAAAATTTTCAATTTCGAGGTTAGTTTTGAAAAATTCTAATATTTATTGTAAATAAATAATTCTGGCAAAAAATTAATTACCTTTCATATTAATTACCATGTCCTGTAACATGAAAAACATTCATACTGTAATTTTGTAGAAAACATAGAAGGAAAATGTAAATGTACAGCCCTGGATTCTCGTTGTTAACCCGCGTGAGGCAACTAGCAACCAAATGCGCAGTACGTGGTGCGCATAAGGAGTGAGAGAGAGAGGAACAAAGTAAAATATCTTGGAGAGCTGAGCGAATCAGACCTTCTGTCCTCCGTGCTTGTTTCGATTCACACTTCTCGACCATCAGTAAACAGCTGGCGTCGCGATGCGTCAGAACAAAATGTTGAGTGGGAGTTTACTGAGCTAGTTGCTCCTGGGAAAGGTAGCAAGAGCTTATTCATAAAGTTGATTTTTCTGTTGAGTTATTGGACATTTCAATTAAAGGACAGTACATAAAAAACAAAGTGCCAAACTCCCAAACAGATAATAAGTTCAGAACAAGTAAATTACACGTTAAATAATTGTAAAACTTGAAGCGAAAGTGAACTTCTTTGTTATAGTGTACGCGCATTCGTCGTTAGCGAGTGGCGCAGCATTGTTTGTTGTGGTTCAACGAAGACCCTGTTTTGAGATCGAACACCCCGAGGAACGCGATTTATTCAGAACATTCTCAGGTAATCTTCAGATTGTAAAATTTGAAACAATCATCCAGGAACTTGGTTGGTCTGCCATTATTCCTGATGAAGAACGTTTCTTTGATACATTAATTTTGTTGTGCGCGAGTGCTTTGTTTTGGCGAGCAGCTGATTCGAGCAACGACGTTCTCTTTTAACAGGTCGATCGCTGAACGAGCGACGACTCTCAACGTGATATATTTTATAAAAAAAAAAAAAAGTAAATAAATAAATTCTTTGTTCTTTAGGTGAAGCACAAAAAGTGACATCGTAACAAGTTGGAGATTAGAAAAAGGGATTCAAGACCTGCAAATCTTAAGTGATATAACTCAGTGTCAACGATCCCCAGGTCTATTTAATTTAACACACACACACACCAAGAATCAACAAACGCTTATATTATTTATGTCAAGTTGAATGCTTTTTTGTATATTCATATGGGGAATGCATGATTTTTGTACATCGTCTGCATCGTAGACTGAAAGCTACCTCGAAAACGTTGAGTCTGAGACCTTGTGAGGCTTATTATTTTAATTTCCCTAATGCCACCAAGGACACGCCAAGGTGCACTGTTAATTTAGTTCGCTAACGAGTGGAAACAAGAAGAAATTATATCTAGACTCGTTCTAGTCACAAGAAAAAAAGGTTGTTTTTGAATCTTATATATAATTATACATATATATGTTTTGAGGATTTTGATTTCAACGTTCCTAAAAGTTAACTGCTGGACAACGAAGAAGTCACACATACACACAGCCTTTTAACAATTTTTTTTATGATCTCATATTTGCTTTTCTTCGTTATTAATTCCAAGAGTTTTTGTTTTTACATATAAAATTCCATGAGCTGTGACCATCGAATCGTAATTGTTAATGAAACGGGGGTTGATTTATTGAGACCTTTTTTTGTAAAAACCCACGCTACCTGAATGAAATTGATCAAAGAGTCGAGTGATAAGCAAGGAGTTTTCTTCAAAGTTCTTGATGAGGAAGAGTCTATCGACTCAGCTTATTGATAAATGAATCGTAGACACTCTGGGGCCGTCCTCGCGAGTTCCAGACAACGTGGGGTACGGCCCCTATCAAGCTGACTAAAGGAATTGGAAAAATTATTGATAATCGTCATTCTTCAGGAGTAAGGAGAATTAATTTTTTTTATCATTGAAAAATATCATTTTCAACATGCTTTACATATTTTACGTGGATACCGGAAGCACCATCACCTTCGACATCAAGCTTGCTTTGCAGAGGTAAGATTTAATAATTTATTTTACAAAAAAAAAAATTATATTTTAACTCAAAATTGTTTTTTATTAATCTTATGAATTTAAAAATTTAATTTAATATACACAATAAGGAAGATTATGAAAAATGCAATTTAAAAATTTGTTTGTTACCTAGAATTTTGACAATATTTTTTCGGTCTTTTTGCAATTTCCATTGTTTTCTTTTTTTTTTTTTTTTGGTTTTTGTAATTTTCTGCTTTGTCTACAACTTATTTCAAATTTTAAAATGTAATTTGTGCATTCTTTATATAGTTTTATTTCAATGTTCATTAATTTATCAGGTACGTTAATTGAATTCGTTGAAATGACAGATTCAACTCATTAAGTACATCGAGAGAATGGGACAAATGAAGAAATCTGAATTAACATTATTGAGGAATTCTCCGAACACGCGAGAAGTTCAATGGTTTATCATTATTATTCTCTAGAATTCAAAAAGTTGTATGAAACTGAAGTTACTAACGTTGATTCAACGAAAAAATAAAATTTAAAGATTCCAATTCTCATCAATGAAATTTGATTATTTTCAACCCTCTAAAACCTGAAATAAAAAAAAAACAATATTTATCATTGTTTTGTCCAGGATTTTCCGAAAATTTCGAAATTTCAAATAATTTTGATATTTCCTCGACTCGGAAGCAATTTTTCTCGTTTGATAATTATTTATTTCAATGCTAGAAGCCTTTTAAAAAACAAAAAAACTTGCTTCCAAGTCGGGGAAATAGAAATTTTTTTGAAATTTCCGGATTTTTTGAAAATCTGTGAGAAAAATGTCAAAATCACTGTTTTCCCCAACTTGAAAGCAATTTTTCTGTTTTTTAAAAGGCTTCTAGCGTTGAAACAAATAATTATCAAACGAGAAAAATTGCTTCCGAGTCGAGGAAATATCAAAATTACTTGAAATTTTTAAATTTTCGGAAAATTCGGGACAAAATAATGATAAATATTTTTTTTTTTAAATTCATGTTTCAGAGGGTTGAAAATAATCAAATTTTATTGATAGGAATTAGAATCCTTAAATTTTATTTTTTCGTTGAATCAACGTTGGTAACTTCAGTTTCATAAAGTTGTCAGGTATTTGTTACCTAATTAACTTTCAGCGGAGATAATTTTTATTTCAAAAAAAAAAAAAATAACATCGCCGAGAGAAACTTTTTTCGGATATAGAAATCTGCATTTCACAAGTTATTTTTGAAAAAAGATAATCAAATTTTTAAATTTTCTTTGATTTAAAAAATAAATAAATGAAGAATTGAATTCAAACTATAAAATGCCGTGATGTCTGCGCCAATTGGATTATTTGTTTGATTATGACGTTTGAAAGTTAAGTGTGCTTGAAATAATTCGTTTGTTTATAAATTTTCAAATTCTTGACGTGAATTCTTGAATTCGTTTCAATGAAATTTTGAAGTATGCATATAACTGTATAAATTTCTTCTTTGAAAGCACAGCTGTGCAATTTCTTGGCCAGTCGCCTTTTTCGCGCATTAAACACACAGGGTTCACTTTGCAATCCTGTGAATGTAGGGCATGCAGAGTGTAAAATAGTGTATTAGATGCAAGAGATATTATTAGCCGAAGGTGTATACAGAATTTGATTCATTGGAAAGAGAGTAAAGGGGCTTATTTAAAAATTGGCACTTGAACGAGAGTTCTTCATAATATATAATTATTTAAATAATAATATTCCTCTCTGAAATCTACTTACAATATATTGCAAGTAAAACATTTTCTTTTGTATATTATATTGTTTATTTATCCTTTAAAATATATATTTTTTTATTTCTGTATATAACTTCCGAGCTTGGGGGTCGAGACATCAATTACAATTTCTTGGAGTGAAGCATAAGTAGTGGTTGACATCAGTCTGATATGAGTAGAGGTCTGGTGACTATAGTTAACTCGGTTAACTCGTGTCCTAGTTGCAGACTTAATTTGTGTAAACCAGATAGACATTTATCGCAATTTTTCCTTGCTTTAGTGTTTATTGCGGTCATTGAACTTTCCCAGTATATATATATTCATATTGGGATTATACTTTATCAGATCTTTCATTAATCTTTAAATTCACGTAAGGTTTTCTTTATTACTATATATTAGACTTCATGTTCTCATTATTCACTTATTTCGTATAATTAATATATGAAATGTAACATATATTAAAAGAAATATCGAATTTTGCACACTAAATAATAATAATACTTAGTATTTATTAATTATTTTATTTATATTAATGAATTTATTTTATTCGATAATTTTAATTAAAAAAATAAATTCATAAGATGATTCAATTGAATGATGTAAATGTAATTAATATGCTGAAAGTTTAATTTGTTATTGTATAATGTCGCTGGACTTGCTTTTCAAGTGTTTTATATTTACCGATGACTATATAAGCATTTATTTTGATATATACTAGACAAAGACTGCGCGCGCTTCGCGCGCGCCTTTTTCGTTGGTGTTTAGTACTTAGTCAAAAAGATAGCGAGTTATTAAATTTTTCTAAAAATATATAAAGTTTTTGCATAATTAATTTAAATTTTTGTTAATATCAGCAAAATACTTTGTAACTGCACTTTTATTACACTAAATACACATATAATTGTCAGTCTAACCATTTCTTAACAATCATAGAAAATTTAAAAAAGAACCCGTGGAGAAGTTTTCCTAAGTTTCCTTATCGAAAACTAAAATTTGGTAAGTTTCTGATAGGGAAAAATGCAGAATTCTGGTTAGGTCCTTATGTTTTTGGTGACGCTTGTTTTTCTCAAAAATTAGTTTTAATGGTTAATAGTGAGAAGAATAACAAGAACCGTACGATTGCCCTTTGAGAACTTTCAATTTAACTTTTATTTAACTTTCAATTTTTGATTAATTATAATTTCAGGTTATAATACTATATTATTCTTTATAAAAAATATAATTAAACTGTAAAAAGAAAATTTGTAGTTTATATAATTCATTAGAAAATATAATGAATTTAAATTATTAAGAATGTGAAAATAATTTTAAATATATGTATAGCAATCAATTCGAAGATATTAAAAAATAAAAATGTCTTATTTAATGGTAAAATCTCCTTGAACTTTGAGAAATTATTTTGTATGATGTTTTTGTAATACAAAAATTATTTTATTAAACGTTAATATATGTGACAGTCCCCGAGAGAAGGGACCTTAGCTCACCAGAGGTCAATATTGAGTTTTATATGGTAAATGATAGATTTTGAATTGCTTTTTCACATGCAAAAGTCAAAAACTGATTAGGATAATTGCTTTTGACACAATAACATTTTGAAGATGGGTATGTCAAGCGCATTTCGAGGCGGATTGTGGCACTCAAGAAATCAGCCCCACTACTTTACTTACACAACTATACTCTCGCGTACGTGAGCTTCGCTCGGTTCGTGCTGACTGAGACCCGAAGATACACGAAGTAGACGAAGCTCACGTATACAGAAACACAACGTTGTGTTAGTGTGGTGGGGGAACTTTTCAGAAGTTCCGCCCCACTCTTCGAGTTCCTCGTTTCTGCTTCTTCTTCAAACGCTTGCCCTGTGAAATTCGTTTTGGTGAGCTAAGGTCCCTTCTCTCGGGGACTGTCACATATTATCATATATTAACTATTTAAAATATTTTAATCCCAAAAATACAATTTTTTAAAAAAATTATTAATATACTCTGGCACATGATAACAAAACCTTTTACTATTTTTAGTTGTCAAAATCTGCGCAGAATATATTTATATGTGAAATCACAAAAACAAACAGAAGATGTTTTCCCGACAAAAATTGATTTTAATTAATCATATTATTCTATTTGCTTCTCTTTTTTAAGGCCTACCCTTATAATGTTATTTTTGTTCCTTAATAAACACTGAGAAAAAAAATTTAGTGTTTGCAACAAAATTGTTTGGTTAGGCAATTTTGGTTCTTGGAACCAAATTTTGGTTGGCTGAAACAAAGTCGTAGGGTTATCTCAACCAAACATTTGGTTAGGCCAACAAAATTATTTGGTTGAAAATTTTTAAATTCCAACCAAAATTTAGTTACGACAACAAAATAATTTGGTTAACACAACAAAATAGTTTGGTCTCAGAAACCAAATGATCGTTTGTTGTTCTAACCAAAATTTGGTTGCGACAACCAAATAGTTTAATTCGCTCTTAGCTCATAGCTTAAGAGAACAGTTAGTTTAAATCTCTCACAAGGATGGGTAGTCCAGTGGTCAGAGCTCCCGACTTTCAGTTTTATAACAGAGGTTCGATCCCAGGCGGAGGTGAGATTTTTTAAAGTCCATAAATATTTCAATTGGATGAATATAAATTCAATGTTAAATTGATAATAAATAAACAATGAAATAAATAAAGATGATAAAAAGAAAAGAGATAAGGTATAATAAAATTTTTAATTTTACAAAAAAAACTGTTGGTTTCATCAACCAAACATTTTTGTTGACCTAACAAAAAAAATTTGGTTGAGCTAACCAAACATTTTTGTTATGCCAACAAAAAACACTCAACCTAATTTTTTGGTTGACTCAAACAAATAGTTTGGTTGCTTAAATACTAACAAAATTTTTTTGTTGGCCCAACCAAATTTTGGTTGCTCTGACTAAACATTTTTCTCAGTGAATATATATGACAGTCATAATTTTATAAATAAAAAAGAGTATATATCAAAAAAACATTGAGGTGAGATTTTAAATATTTTCTTGACAAAAACAATAAAATATTTTGTTTATAATTTTCTCTTTTACAAATTATTGATCGAAAAATTAAGTAAAATAGTTTTTATGCAAAAATATGTAAACATTTAAATAGAAAAATATTTGTTCTTCTAAATCGTTGTTTAGAAACGTTGTGAACCTCACTAAAGTAATTTATTAATTTTATTATTAGACTAACTATTTGATTTCAGCACATGCACAAAATAACAATATTCCTGGTAGCACAATATAAAAATCTTAATTGTAAGTTTCGTGTTAAAATGATACTGGTCCAAATTTTCTACTATTTATAATAAATAATATAACCTTAAATTATCATTCAATAAAAATGATAGTAAGTTGAAAGTAATCGAAAGACGGTCGTAGGGTTCTTGTAGGGTTCTCACTATTGGGTACTATGAATCATTTTTATAACGTTTATTTTACTTGTAAGTATATAATTAAAACTTGAAATAATTAAAAAAATACATTTTCATTATTAATAAAAATTAATTAATCATTATTCTTAGTAGAACTTATTTAAAAACAATTATAAGATTATGATGCTGTACAAATTTTCTAATATATTTGTGCATCAGTAGAACCTTATTCGGACTGAATGTATTATATATATACATAACATGCTTGCATGAAGAAAGAAACTAACGCATACAATGCTTTTATTCATATGTGAGTGTATATTCGTATTACGGGCTAAACGTGTCTGATAATCGTGCTTGTAAGACGGAGAAAGACGAAGATGACGAATAAAACTTCGACCAATGGGATACAGGTTACTGTGACAAAACTTCGAGAGTTTATCGATTAGAGATTTATTATATAGGATATATAAAATTTGCACATGCATTTGGTTCTTTGAAACATTTTTTCTTTATCTTTTTATAAATGCTATACCTTATCTGTAAACGCTTGTTTGGATTGAAGTATATTTACTAATAACTTCAAGTCAACAATAATGTTAAAGATAAAAAGAAGGATTTAGAGAACCCTAGATACGCAAATAAAGATTAAAGATTCTAGAAACTTTTTTGTGAAATGATATTTCTTGGTAATTTGCAAAAGTCTGTTGCACTCGAGTTCAAATCAATAATGAACTCATTTTTTTCTCTTTTTTTCTATTTATTTTAATTAAATTCTACACACAATTTCTCTACTTATAAATGTAAAAAAAGATTGCAGAATGCAAAAAGGTTAATAAATCATTTAAAAGAAAGTAACTTGGTTGTTTATCGTGCAAGTGAAATATTATATATTGTCACGAAAAAAATGTGTCTCGGAAGATATAAATTATTTTATTTTGTTGGAAATATTTTCATTAATTATTTTATCGACTAAAATTTGAAGAAGTGAATTCATATGATAAATGGATACATTGGATTTTCATTCGTTTAGCAAGGTTAATAAATTGAAAACTTTTTTACATTATAATGAATAAATTTGAATTTTCAAAACGATTAAATTCATTTAATAAATGAAGTTAAAATGTAGAGAAGAAAATAACTAATATTAAATTAAAATTAACAATATTTAATTAAATTAACGAAATATAAAATTAAAATATATTGCATTCAGTCAAAAATATTATTTGAAGAATTTATTTTCTCACTTTGAAAATAGATATATGTATGTAATATTTTCCTCAATAGAAGAAAAGCGACTTTTCAGCATATTAGTTTGCAAGTGTAGGCGATGTTATTTATGTAATTTTTTGCATTATTCGAGCTATCCACGAATGTATAAAAGTCGTATGGCGGCGATTGCATAGCCTAGTGGGTGTTTGAATTAATGTCATCTTCTGGTTACCCTATGTAAGAATAGTTGGCCTTTGATTTCAATACGTAATTGATGTTGTAATGAAAGGGCTAAGTTTACATGCTCGCAATATCATATGACGTTGATTTTAATTGGGGCTTGTTGAGTAATCTCGTGAAAATTCGAATTGGTCCAAATTGCTTTTTTGTCGAGCGCGCGGTCATTGGCCTAGTAGTCACGGTCATTGAGATTATGAGGTGCGACCTGATGGTGTGCACAATACTGCAATCAGAAATGAATCTTCAAAACTGGATCATTTTTCTCTTATACCGCGTGAAAGTTCTCAAGTTTATACATATAGTAGTAAGGAAAAAAAAAACTTTATGCACCAGCGAAAAACTTGGAGACAAAAATTTACGATTTCTTTCGTCGACTATTCTATATACTCAAAATAATTAATCATTTTTACAGTAGTGCACAAAGAATTCTTTATTTAAATTCTATATAAATTTAATCCATCCATAATTATACAGTTGTTGATTAGGAAGTCAAGTTATAAATATTATAATCTAAAAATACACATATTTTAATCCACCGACTATATCAAAGGCATTTTGAATGTTTATTGGAGAATTTCTCTCTCTCTCTCTCTTTTTTTCAAATAGAATCAATTTCTCAGTAGAATGTTTTGTTTAATCGAATCGTTCAAAAGATTCATTCTATATTTGTTATTCTTGTCAATCTTCATTGTGGTTTATTGTCACAAATGGAAAAAAAAAATTATTTCTAAATATTGAATCAAGAATTATAATTTTAATAAAAATAATTTCTTTTTCCTTTTTATTAGAGAAGTATAATTATATAAAATATTTTTTAATAGATAATATATAATTAGAAATTGTTTAAATAAACATTTAATAAATAAATCATATTTATGATTTGAAAATAATAGCGAATAATGTTTGGAAAAATGATTAAATATCTATTTGTGAACTATACCTTCGTGAGAAGCAGGTCGTGCGTCGCACCTATAGGGAAACCTCATTGCAGATTGTCTATATATCTTTATTCGAAATTCTCTCCTTTCTCGATCACAAGGGGGTCTTTAAATGAGGCGTAGTACACATCTTTGCGAGTCATTAAAGGAAAATGATCATCGTCGAGTGAGAGCGAAGCAACTTGTATATACTATATATATATATATATATACATATAGCCAAGAGCGCTCGTATATATAATCGTTTCTAAATCTAAACTTTCAACTCTTGTTACTTTCTTTGTTTCAGTGTGTCTGAGCTGAAGGAGGCGATCGAAAGAGAATGTGGCGTCTTAACGAAAGACCAAGTTCTGTTGATGAGCGGTGGCGAATCTTTGGAATCAGATGCTCGAGTCTGTTCTTATTCCGCTGGAACGGACACAAATCCGATTTACCTCTTTAACAAGGCATCCATCAACAGCAGTGTACCGCCTATACCTAGCATTGATTATGGCTCTGGTATGTAAATAAAAAAAAAAATTGCTCCCTTATTACTTTAGAAAATCGAAAATAATATTTATTTGATTATCTAGAAAATTGTAAATAATCAATTTTTTTGTCCTTTGCACCTATAGCAAATGATTGTAACGAGTTATGATAAAATATCACGAGGATAATCTCATGTGATGGAAATGTAAAACAGACTTACTCATCTGGAGAATCAGTATAAATTTCCATTTTTTTTTTATTTGTTGCATGGATTATATATCTTGCTCATAAATTACATCAGCTGCGAGACAAACGGTCGCCAGCCTTGTTTACTTATCTCGGTTATTCAATAATTAAAGACGTAAAACTAGAATCACAGACATAATGAGACTTTGACCCGTGACATAGACGTGATCGACCGTACGACCCAATTCCTTGTCAAACATGGAGCAATAATAATCGGTGGGTGCTATCGAGCATATGTATAGGTGTACATCTAATCAGTAATCGAGAGATTCTTTTGATATACACACACTTCCTTTTATTTGCTGTTATCACAATTTTGCTTGTTAGTGATATCATCTTCTTCTATTCGATCGCGCGGGTATACTTGAAATTTTAATGCACTTCGGCCTATTTTACTGCTCCTATTTTACTATAACTCTAGAACGACAAGAATTTTTTATCACTCATTCGTGATATGAATTTCAAATTCCTTTGCACTTCCTTTTTTTTCCTCTTTCATGTTCACGATTCTCGAGTTTTATTAAAAAATATTTTTAAACGTAAAAAAATGTCTTATCAAATTTTCCTCTATGATGTGCAAGGAAAATTTAAATTAATGTTCCAAATTCTTGATTTATTAAAGAAAAATTGAAAATTTGTTTTTTTATGTCATATTCGAAATAATCCATATTGTATTGTGATATTAAAATAGAAATATTTTTCACTTTATTATAGAGAAAAAAAGTCAATATCACTATTGTGACCTTTTTGTATTCTGATTTAGATGTCTATTTTCAAGCACTCGTGGAAAAATACCATCTAGAAAAAGATTTTTTCCTTTTCAATATATTTTTTCCCCTATATAACAATTTTCTTGATATTAACGAGCTTCTCGTAGGTTAAATGATTACAAGACCACTGTTGTGAATGTTCGTGTTAGCAATCACGCTATACATATATACAGCGGTGTTATTGACCTTTCAATGCAAAAAAAAAAAAAAAAATTCTAATTTACCAAATTTCTTTAGACTATCAAGACGCTCACCATTCGTTTTCTCTTGTGGAAGTTTTATTCTTCCTGTATAATTTACATAAGAAAAATTATATTGTATATCAGTGCGCACAGTTTACGAGGTGAATGGACTCACTTGCTTTCCCTTGAATTTCAGAAATACTTTTTCTTTCCCTTCTGCAATTACATAACGAGGCAATTTGACATTTTTTTTCTTTTCATGAAACTAAATAAACCTTTTTAATGGCTTATAAATGTAACGTTTGTTCTAATGAGGCTTTTAAAAAAAAAATCTAATGACGCTCTTTGATTGTATGTAAAAAGAAAAAGAATATCATTTTAGTTTAATTTCATTTTTTATTCTTGTAGAATCGTTAATATTTTCATATATACAATTATTTGAGTAAATTGGATAATTTTTTTGTTTTTTAGATTCGTTTTTTCGCAATGTTGAGTTTTATTTGAAAAAAGAAGTAAAAAAATATATTATTGACATGATCGCCGAGAAATTGAGATGCATATTTTATTTTTAATCATTTTCCAAGAATGGAAGGGAAGTTGTGAAAACTTTAAGCCTCTAAATATTGATGGAGCTGCACTGAACTGGAATAAAAAAAAAAAAAAAAAAAAAAGGAAAAGCTTATTTAAGTTGAAGGGGTCGAGAGTTGGTGCAATGCGTAGCCACACGTTGAATATACATATTTACCCACCCGGTAACAGAGTGCATATGAAAGACAATATTTTTTCCTCGAGTCTCCCGTCACTTTTATTCTCTGGCTTTTGCAACTGACCGTGTGATTTTCCATAACGTACTTAAATAATACAATATAAAGCTCAACAAACTGCGAGCAATTATTATTATTATTAGTATTATTATTATTATTATTGTACGAACGAGGACGATAATTTTGCTCGTTTACTTTGTATTGGAGGTGTATGTATTTTGCCATTTTCTTCGGTGTGAGTTTTTTTTTTTTTTTTTAATGATAGCGACCATGTTGATATTTCAACATTGCGCCTTTTTGTTTTAATCTATTCGCCCTACCAGCTTATATAGATATTCGTTCATTAATTAGAAATCCTCGTAAAACGAACGCATTTTTTTCTTTTAAAGTTGATACGCAAAAGTCTTTTTTTATTTTCATGATTACAAATCTCGAGAAAAATATGTTTTCAATTGTCATTACGATTTTCAATCTTCTCTTTTTCTTTGACTAAAAACATTCAATAATAAAACTTCATTTAATATTAAATTGTATTATTTTACAATTACAAATTGACCTATTTTCTTCTATAGTTGTAATTATCTCTCACTTTTCACCTCTTCATCTAATTTATATTTAAATGAGCCAAAAATTCTAAACGTTCAAATGAATGAAATATTTTTTTTTCAATCTATAAATTATTAAAAATTATGATAGCAATGTAAAATAAAACAGTAAATTAAACAATTATTAAATTAATAACTTCTTTGTAGATATTTAAAACAATATTTTGTAATAAAATTCGTACTTAAAGAAGTTCAAAACTTTTGGCTCATGTATTTAAATCCATATTTATAGAAAATATGTTTTTTTTTTTTTTTTTTTTTTTTTTTTTTTTTAATAAAAAGATAATTAATTTAAAAGAAAACAACTTCCTCTCATAAAATTTAGTCGTTCTATTAACTCAATTCAAACACTTGGAGGTGAATATAATTAGGTGCATCAATTATGACGTCATCAGATTGCACGTGGAAGAATATACTAGCAAAAATGAATAGGCGATAGGAATGAGTGCTAAATTAAAAAGTTTATCATTAAGTTGTCGCAAAAGAAATAATATATATATATATTAAATTAATTACTCAACTACGTGATATTCCACACACGAGTTTCTGGGATGCACGGTCATCGGAGTAGGAAGTTAAGATAAGAGGCGGATCTCTCTTCTTTGACGATATAGAGTGGCGATTTATCATTTCACTGTCCCGAGTTTATATACAAGCATCTGCACTCATGTTTTCATATACCGATTACATGTAATAGGCAGGATGCTGATAATGTGTTGATGTACATTATTATCAAGATCTACAAAATTCTATACTCTCTATTTACTATATAATCACGATTAGAGAGATGCAAACTAGTTTTTTGCTGAAAAAAAAAACAGATAATCAGGTGTCCTACTAGAAAGAGAATTTCGTTCCGTTCTGATTTGTTTCCTTTTTTTATTTTCATCATTATTGTATATCTTATTACTTTTTTTTTATATATATATATGAGAAAGTATGAACCTTGTTGTAGGCTAATGAAGAAGATTTATCAGCGTGAAATTGTAATCAGAAAGTGATAAGAGGGATGCTTAAAGAAGTGTTTTGAACGATCTGTTAAATGAAGAAAATTACTCCTTTCAGTTAATTAACTTATAGAGAAGTGATTTAGTTTAAACATAATTTTGATATTATCGCGTGTTTATGCATTATAGAAGAGAGAAAAGTATTCAATTTTATTAGAATGTAAATGATGAAAGTTGCAAAGTTTATATATATTTACTTGTGGGAAATTAAGCATGGTCGATAAAAAGAATAAGTTCTAAATCTTAATTACAATCTTCTGGGGTTTGGTTCATAAGGAAACGACTTTTTTAAATTATTAAAAAAATTTCTGAATTACTATATAAAAATTCAATTTTCAATACATTTAATTTTTTATATTCCAATTATTTTATTTGATCAATAATAATAAATTTTCAAATAATTAATAAATCTGGTAAAGTTATTTTTGATTCATAATTGTCATATAGTATACATGAAACTTTATCAACTCTGTTATAATTGGCTAATTCTATTAGAGAGAACTTGTAGTTGGAAAATTGCCAAGTATCGACCTAATATTTGTTCCATTAGATGAATAAAGATTATTCTTCTTTTTATTTAAAAAAAAATATTAAATATATAAACAATTAATCGTGTATATTTGAAAGAATAATTTATTTCTTTTGTCTTAAACAAATTGAACTTTATGAATCTTTTTAATCTACTGCGATTAATTTTCTTTCGTTAGAATTGAATGAATATTTATTATGCGTTTAATGGAAAACTCGATTAAACTATGACAAAAAAGAAGTATTTGTTATTCATTAGGGTAAAGTTATGAACTTTCCGTCTATCACTGACAAAAAAAGATGGAAATTCTAATTTACTTTCTATGTGCACATTTGTATGTAATTAAAAATGCATTTGTTTAACTTTTAATAATTGCATTTTATAACTTGAAACATGAATTGTCAACCAGAAAATTATTCAACTATGAAGGACAAAAGAATTATGCAATAAAACAATATAACATTGACTTAAGCAGCTGCAATGATTGAATCTCGGAAAAATTCTCCGAACTTGAATTTCTGATTTGATAACTTTTTTTTTTATTGAATTAATGCATTTTTAATTAATACTTTGACAATGAAATACGTATTAAAGTTGAGGTGTAATAAAAATTATAAATGTTAGACCTTGCTCATGTATCTCACAAAGATAAATATTGTATATAGTGAAACAATGTCTGATAAAAAAATTGCTTTATCTTACGTACATGTGTAATCATATATATAGAAAAATGATGTTTTAAGTAAGTCAAATTTTTGCAATTAATTCACTATAATTGCTGTTAAAGTGATTAGATCAATTATTTTTTGAAAATTAATTAAATAAAAAAATACGGAAATATTTAACATATATAATTATTTTTCTAAGTTTTTTGATTTAATGTGAAACGAACTTTCTAGGTCAATTTCACAGCGATTATTTTTATGAATTGTGGCGTAATTTTGTTGAAAATCGTCTAGGGGTAGAATTAGATTTCTTCCCGTATGCATAATAACATTATAGACATATGAATAATGTATTCGATAACTTTTAATGTGGAACTTTCCTTTCTTGAATCCAGAATATTATTTGTGATTTCACAATCAAATTAAACGTTTGGCAAAATTATTATATAAGTAATTTTCGTCGACAATTTATAATTAAATTTTCACCGATGGGAATTGTTGTTATAAATATTTTGCTGTTGAAAAAATAATCATGACAACGTAGTGACTATTTTTAGAGTTTCAGAAAAACACAAGACGTTAATCATTTAATAATATGTCAATTGAAAAAATGAATATTGAAGTGAGATATTAAGAAGAAAAAAAAATTTGTTAACAAGTCTATGCACGTTTATTCAAGTTTAAATAATAATTTATATGATGAAAAAATATTTTTTTTAAAAAAAGTTATTTTTTGCTTTTTACTTCTTTGACAATTAAATTTCATATTTTTCCATTGTAACTGTAATTTATAGATGATGATCAAATAGACTAAAGTTCAATGCTGATAGAATGGCTTTTGTACTTGCAAACTCCAAAGGGTTTCCCCAAGATTTGATTGAAAATTGATTAGATCGGAAATCAATTGCAAATTGAATCAGACTGGTGATAGGGGAATTTCAGTTGGACACATTCCCGAAATAGAATAAACTATATTAAATGTGTGAGGAGAAGAAAATTTCATTCTTCGTTTTTAAAAAAAATATTTTTGTTCAGAAGATTATATTTTTATTATTATTATTATTGATGAAAAGAAGAAGGGTCATTATTTAAGAGGAGAGATAATCCATGCAACGTCTCTTGTATATCCAGCATGACGTAAGTTTTCGAAAGAGAGAGATCTAGTCATTCTCGTAACCTTGAATTTTCATCGCGTGCCAAGATCACGTTGGCGAGCTTTAAACGAGCGCGTTCAAAAGCGTCGATCAATTATATATCCTTCCTTCTTGTTATCTCCTATACCAACTCTTAACCACAATCTTGTATCACGATGACAATGAATGCGAAATTGAGATCAAAGCTAATTTAAATTTTGTCTTTTGCTCTTTGCGCAGATGTTGATCTTCAGAGCCAAATTGATGCTTCGTCGGCGATGCCGGCGACATATCAAACAATTGTCGCACGTGCTCAGCTGGCCCAACAGTGTTGCGGTTTGGCTCGTGATCAGATTCGAATTTGCGAGAGATTGGTCCACGATCAACACTTACAACAACAGGGATGGGCCGCAGTCATTGCAAATCTTGAGGACGTTGTGCAAATGTTTCAAACCAAAGCTGAACAATTTCAGCATAGCTTTGCCGTTTATCACGCGGAACGACATCAGTACATAGAACTTCTTCAAAAGTAAGCCATGATCTTTCGACTAACGGTAAACGCGCGAGAAAGCCTCAGCATCGTGGGTACCTCATTTTCAGAGTTGCCTCACCTTTTCTATGTTCTTTGATATTCAAAATTGTTCACTTCTTTATTGTTTTATATTTTATTTTTATTGTACAAGCATCAATTTTTAATTATTAACATTTTTAATTCGTTCAATTTTTAACGTTTTCAAATTCAAATAGATCATTTATTTAAAAAGAAGGAAAAAATTAATCTTTATATTTAAAATTTAAATACATATACTTATTTTTATTATTTATTTATTGAATGTGTATTAAATATTATTAAAAAAAAAAAAATGTTTTGAATTACAGTTACAGCAATGATGTGGGAACCCTAGCAGAAATTCCAATTTTGCCGGCACTGCGAGCGCAAGCGGAGGGTCTTCTCAGTCCTGATGAATTGCCAACATCAGAAGAAGATGATTCTGGAGTGTTGAGCTTATTCAAGTGGATTTCTGCTAAGGATAATCATAGCACTCTGGAGCAAGTTGCCGAGCAATGCTCGAGAGGATTGGAACAGTTTAATGAGAGTGTGATGGAATCGTTGATGGTTGATGTAAATCAAGTAATTAAAAGTGCAAATAAACAGGACTTCAAGGAAATCCGAGGTCTTGGCGAGAGATTATTTGCACTTGAACAGTTAATGACACAGGCAAAGAAAATTGTTCAAGAACAAGGAGAACTCGCTCAAGGATTTTTACAAAATCAAAATCGCACGAAAATTGAAGGTGATGCAAGTGTTCTTCCTGATCTTTGTACATCTCATCGTCGACAACTTCTTGTCATGTTAAATAATCACAATCAACTACGTGATATTCGTCGACGATGTACAAAAGCAAAAGAGGAGCTATCGAATAATATTTATCATCGTTTAAAATGGATCGTTCATGTTGAAAATAAAATAACAAACGTTGATTATAAATTGTCAATGTACAATGAAATTTTAAAGCGATTAAAAAGATACTTTGAAGTATTGCAGCAGATTCATTTAGCTCCGGAAATGTACATGAGTGCCATAACAGAGGTGGTTCGACGTAGAACTTTCTCCCAATCATTTTTATCATGGGCGAGTAATTTGGCCTGTCAATTGTTAACTGTTCACAATGAAGAACTCAGTAGACGTCGTGAATTTCAGAGTAAATTTGATGGACATTTTCTTAATACACTCTTTCCTGGTATGGAGGATACGCCTCCAGATTTTGCAACTCAAGCACCGCAAGTTTTTGATAATACACTTCCAAAATTAACTGTGGAGGACATGGAATCTTTGAGGAAACAACTACCAGATTTGGCACTCAATGTTTCGTCGCCTGATCTTAGCAGCATCACACAATTTTTTTACTCCAAATGTTTAAGTGAGGGCAGTATTGACGGTAACAAGGACAAGGAAAGCACTTCAATGCCAGTTGATGATGTCTCGTCCAAGGATCAAGTCAGTGCTCGTCCTGAGATGATGATCGACAGGTGTGTAAATGAAAAATCAAATTATACAAATCAAACGGACATGTGTAATTATTTAATAATAAATTTAATATATTTTTCAGAGGTGATTTCGAATCGGAAACTGATACGGAGGAGTTTGAGAAGATTGGCCAACGGGGCACGGACTCGAAGCTGAATTATTACGGTGGCATTCTTTCTGAGGAGTTTCGACAAAAAGAAACGGAGGTTGGTGTTCAGCAAAGTGCATCATTGGGTTCTTCAATCTCGACTAATATATCCCCGCTAAATTCAAAAGGCACTGATTTCAATCGATCTTCGTCATCCAGCGAACCCGGATCCTATCATTTTCCTAGTTTAACCACAAGCGAAAGACCACTACCTCAGCTTAGTCCGCTGACCGAGTGCATCGAAAACGGTTTATCCAGTTCTCATGATCACTATCTCTCGTGCGACGCACAAACATTCAGTAATACTCCATTATCCTTAATTGTCAATATTCCTAGACATTTCCCAAGCTCAAATCCATCAACCGTATCTCAACCCGTAGGGTGCGACGGCCAGCAAAAGTTGCAAATTGAACAACGACAACAACAACAACAACAACATTGCGGAAGCGAAGGCAGTAGCCCCGTTGCTGTTGGAGGCGCAGATTTCATGGGTACTGAATTTTACATGGATGAATCACTGCCAAGCAGTCTCAGCGAACATCCCACCGACAGCCAACATCAGGCTATTGTATCCCTTCTTCAGGTACTGGACGACTTACAGCTCGCTGAAAACAAAAAACAATTCCGTAGACGTAGCCGTAAACGTTCCACTACCACGTTGGGTCACTATTCCTTTTAATTTCTTTACTTCCCTAAACATTTCTTTTTTGTTGCCTTCTCTTAATTGAGGGTTTAAGTATCTTTCCTAATTCGCCTTTATATGTCTCAATTACGCCTTCTTTACATTTTTGTTTCAAGCTTTATCTGCTTTTCATTATTTCCAATTCAAAATCTTATTCAAACGCTTCAAATTGTCACCAAATTTCATTCAATTTAAATGCTTTTATTGTTTATTTACGTTTCCTTTTCACTGTTTGAATTAAATATAGTTTCTGTCAAAAATTAGTTCTGGAAAGAAATTTATTTTGTTTTTTATTTTTTTTTATAAAACTTCTAAACTTTACTTTTTAGAAATTTATTTTCATGAAAATATGATATAACTAATCAATGAATATTAATGAAACTGATTTTTGTATTATTATTAATATTTTAATATTATCAAGATCAATAATAATGATTTTTAAATGTAAATAATTTTTTTGAAAAATTTGACTTGATGATCAAAATAATGTTTCATATTTCATTATTAATATTTAATTGTTAATTTAAGTAAATTTTGATTAAAATGAAACTTCTGTGATTTTTCGTCAATTTCCAGCATTAAATTTTGTTTGGAAACTGTTACAGATTAACCCTTAATGATCTGACTGTATGATTCGAAAAGTCATAATTTTGGCAAAATTTAAAATGTTTATTTATTATTTATTATTTATTATCTACTTATAAATTAAAACATTAGAACCGAGTGATTTCGTTTTTAGCTAATTTTTAAATAATTGTTCGCTACTAATTTTTTTATTTGATAAAATTTAAATTAAAATTCCTTTTTTTTCGGAATTCACATTCAATTTTTCATATTTTTTTTCAAATAAATTTCTTATTGATCATTGAAAAAAGAAATTAATTGGACAAAGCAAATTTTTTTACAATGAGATTCGAAGTAATATTTTATAAAAACAATATTTTTCCTGATGAAGAAATTAAGGTCTGCAAGGGTTAAAACTATTTTTACATTTTCAATTTAGATGTTTATCAAGCACACGTAGTTAATATATTCTTCCTTTTTCCAAATGTTTTTATCTTTCCTCTCAAACATTATTATTTATTTTAATTCCAAAATTTTATTTTTTAATTATTTTTCTTTTAGGTACTAAATTTCGTTCTTTTAGATAATGAAGTAAATTTTTTGTACAAAACTGAGTTTTTTTCTACTGAATTTGTATTCTAAATTTAGTTCTCTTATCAGAAATGAATTTAATTTTTTTTTCTAAATTCACGTTAAGATCTCATTGAATTTCAATTTTTTATAGAAATAACAATTATCTATACATCAAATTGAAATTAACATTTTGAAAATGAAATTTAGACTTTTTTGTTGCTTGAAAATATAATTGTTTAAATGTCTTTTCCTAAAAGGAACGAATCTAAAGCCTGTGTTTGTTTGTAATTAATTAATCGGATTTGCATTTTTGTTGCTTGTGACACTGGCGCATGTATGTACTTTTAATTAGTGTATTATAATTTTTGTGTGCGAATAATGATTAAAGAAAAAAGAAAGAGTCGTGCTCGCGTGTCTCTTTTAATTTTTTCAGGATAGCTGCCGTCGCACTCTTCCGAATCCTTATGTTCCCAGTATCATTCCAAATTTGCAATCATTGCCATTCATGTGAAAAAAAATATATATATACTTTTAAATTATCTGTGGCACTTTTTGACTAATTAACATTGTTTTTAAAATTATTCTTTTATTTAAGTTAAAAAAAAATAGACAATTTTCGATCTTTTGCTGGGCATTTGACAAAAGAACTCGTCAATCCTATAAAAGATCGATCCACTTTCAAAAAATAAATACATATTTCGAGTAAAATATCGAGTTCGAATTGTTTCAGGAGAATCTCGGGAACACTCAGGAGGAAGTGGATCGACTGCGAAATCTTTTGAGAATGATGAAGACAGCCACCACTGAGGCACTTCAGGCTTTTAAAATTGAATTGGCCGATTTAAAAGGGCGAATGAATTTTGACGAAAGTGGAATTGCAACAATTACTGAACAACTCAATCAAGCTGTTACTCTTCATTCAAATGAATGTAAACGCATAATTCAAGAACGTGAACAAGAAATGACAGTGGATCATGAACTCGAGATGGCTGATTTAAAAAAAATGTTACAGAATCGCGATGAAGATATTCGTGCTATGAAATGTACAATTATTGAAAAGGAAACTGATATCAGGGAGCACGAACGTCTTTTAAATACAATGCGACAAACTTTGGATAATGAGAAGTCGGAAAAGAATATTTTGCAAGCCCGTTTTCATGGACAACTCGAAACTATGAAGCAAGCCAGCTTAGAGAAAGAAAATACGCTTAAAGAAGCTAATGATGCAAGAATTATTGAAATAGCATCGTTGACAAGTTCTCTGAATCAGTGTCAAGAAAGAATACAAGAACTAGAGAAAAATCTCGCAATTTCACGCGCTGATGAAGAGAGACTTGTCAAGGAAGCAAGTGACAAACTACAAGTCGAATATAAACGAGAGCTGGAAACCATCAGAAGTCGCTTCAAACTTATGGCTGCATCAACAATGGAGAGGAGTCCCAGTGATTCTAGCCTCGAAAAAATTGAGGTTTGTAAAATATCTTCTTTTAATTTTTATTAAAAAATTTTTTTGTTATAATTTTTTAATTAGCATTTTCATTTGCAGAGAACGGACGTGATTGAATTGGTGAATCACGAGGCAATTTTAGCACAGACAAAAGAAGACATGATACTGGAGAGAGCGGCAGAAATACGTCACGCTATAGAAAAGGAAAGGACGGAATTCACCGTTAAATTTGATCAGGAACTTCAAGTGGCAAGACAAATGGTTGAGGAAAAAGAACGAGAATTAGAAATGTATAGATCTAGAGAAATGACTTTGATTGCCGAGTGTGAACGATACAAGAACATCATTAGTCTTTTGACTGAATCTGCAAGTCAAATTGGACAAACCCTGAGCAAAAAGGTTGAAAATTTTTATTTTCATTTTCTCGTTTCTCAATTTTTTTTATCTTTGGCGATAAATGTTTAAATATTTATTTCTTCTTTTTATCCAGGTGGAAAAATTCCATGCATTAAACGTACAACTCGAGAATAAAATAGCGGCCGATCATGATATTTTGGTACAGCGAGAAAATCAGGTTTACGATTTGGAAGTCGAGAGAAATGAATTAAGACAGGAATTAAAAGGCGAACGATCGAAAAATCAAACAACTCTTGGACATGAGGAAATTTTAAACGCCGATCGTGATGAGGATCAAGTTTCAGAATCGAAAAAAGTCAAATTGGAAGCTGACAGTGATCCGGCCTATTTTTCCAGTAGACTTAAGATACTTGAGGATGATAATAAACGATTGAATACTGAGTTGAGAGTAATGCGAGAGGGTAAAGAGATGGCGGAATCTATTGTTTGTTCATTAGAGTCAGATAAAGTGCGTTTGGAAATTGAATTAGTCAAAGAGCGTTCGAAACGAAATTTTGCGGGAGATTCAGTTGGTTCGTCGTCGAGCACATCAACCGAGGGACGTGATAAAGATATGAGTACGTCTGTAGCAGTTGTTGCTGAACCATTATCTCGAGATGCTGCAACAAGTCCTGAACAACATCGGCGAGAAGCTATGTCCGCTTCAACGTCAACTTCGACCTCGACCAAAATTCGTGAAAAACTGTCGAAAAGTACCGTCGGTCTTGTGCAACAAGGACTAATCAACATTTCGACTTGCAATCCCGGCGATTTTGTTTTAGTTCTTTGGGACTCACAGCACAAGAACTTTATTATCTTCCAGGAATCGACAACGATGTATTTTCTCAATTCTGATTGCATCAATATGTTGGACTTGAAAGGTGGTCCCGATGGGACGCCTAATCGATTGCATGTCGTTGCAGAAGTCATTGATAAAGAATATTGCCATGCGAAGAAGGTAATTGCATAAATTATTATCTGTTACATAATAAAATTTTTTATACCTAAATATTATTTTGTTTATATTTGTCTTTCAAATATAATTAGGTAATTGTAAATTTTACTTATATTAATTAATGGAATTTTTATTTTAGCCTGAAAATCGTTTTCGCGTGCCTCAAGGTACAAAATTCTATCGAGTTCGTGTGAAGCCAGTTCTAAGGATGGATTCAATTTCTTCAGCAAAGAGCCAGTAATTATTCAAAATTGAAAAAGAAAAATTCAGAAAATAAAGATGTGTGCGGTCTCCTCTATTTCTTGCCTGGTGTAAAAACGCGCTGTGATTAAGGAATCGTGTTACTTGGGACACTGTTGACAACTGTAGGAACCAGGCATACTACTAAATACGTTCAAGAGGTATCGCCCCAAGATCGCCGATTCCCATTGTACGTCTCCGCAGCCATCCGGATCCTCGGATCGAGGGACAAAACCTGCCAGAATCTCGATGCGCTCACTTGTAAGCTATATTATATAAAATTAAAAAAAAGAGCATTATATAAAAGGCAACGCGAGCGAAGGATTGTATGCGCAAGTTTAGTGTTGCGAAATGAGACGGAAGGATGCGCTGGCGTTTTATTGTGATATAAATAATTTTTAACGAGTGCAACATATTTGCCGAATGCTGTGGATAGCTGTGACTGGAATTTTTTTTTTTTTTTTTTTTTTTATATAAATATAAAAGATATTAACGACACGAACGTCATTATTGTTTTCTCATTTTTTAGTTCGATACAAAAATCTCGCGTAAATAAAACAATGTTTTTTTCTTTTTGTTTTTTATACGAGATTAATACGTAAAAATTTCCCGGTACTTAGTCTCGTCAAACTAATTTAAAATTCATCATGTTTTTGAGAATTATAGAAATAAGTTTTACACAGCCTTGAAAATGCTTCAAACGTACACTTATATATATTATATGCATATATAAACTTATGGTATAATATATTTCGTATATGTATAGAAGACAAAAAAAAGCATTAAATATTCACGTTTAATATCATAGAGCGTAAGAATATTTTATAAAACGCAATTCTATAAAATATTATATATATATATTATGCAAACGGTGGAAGCATAATCAACGCGATAAGGTTTAATATTGTACAGATATTCTCGTGGGACATTTTTTCCATTTCCAATTTGTGCTTCAAAGCTTCACACACAGAAACACATCTTCATCGCTAGACTTAAGTATATCACTCCTATGATGGAAATTATAATTTAGAAGATCGCCTCTAGTTCAAATTTTTATAATAGGACCCAAAACTTTACCAAAAAAAAAAAAAAAAAAAAAAAATAAGAAAAAAAGGAAAACTTCTCGGAAACGAAAAGAAAATGTCATAGCGGTCATTGACATTATTTTTATTCGTTATTCGAATATCAATTTCTTCATACTTAGAATATCGTTGTTAGTTTCATTGTTTTTAAAATGAAAAAAAGCGAGAAAAATATAAATAGAAATTTTTTTATCAATTTCCTGACGTTTCTTTTAAAAAGCGTCATCCTTTATGGTATTATTATAAACTAAAGCGCGATCTAAGCACCTGTAGTATCGCATAATAGCTGTGATCGTTAGAGTCCTTTAACAATTTTTTTTGTTCACTTCTCTTTTAGTCAAATCAATAATCTCAAATCTCATTAAGGCGTTTTTATGGCTGTAGGATTTATAAATGATCCAAGTTTCATATATATTATATATATATATACCTTTAGGTAATTTCTTTGTTTAACTACTTGACAAAAAAATAAAATATAATACAAAGATATTTATACGCAGAGATATCTGTCTATTACAGTGTAGATATAAAATTAAGATAATTAGTGAAAAAAATGTCTTTAAATATCGATCGTTACACTTATAAGTATCATCATGTCTCTCTCTCTCTATTTCTCTCTTTTTATTTCATTTCTATTCTGTACATACAGAGTATATTTATTATTCACAAAAAAAAAACTGCACCAATTTACAAAGACATTACATTCTCGTTGATTATTATTTTTTTCAAGTTTATCACGAGGACAGAGTTAAACTACCTGATTGTAAATAATTTTCTTTTTTTTAAGTGATTCTTAAAAATATTTTGCACTATCGTAATATCGATAAATCGTAAACGATAATAAAAAAATGATCTTTTTTTTTTTAATTTGACGATGGTTTTGGCTCTGTTCTCATAGGAAATCATAGCTTCGATATAGATATCCTTATAGTCTCATGAATGGTACGGGTCTTGTTGAACAGACAAGACTTCGATTTATATTTAACTCATTGTGTCACTATAACTGATATTTTATCTCCTCTGTTTTTATCTCATCTCTTTATTATAGGGAAATTCGTTTTCCTACAAGAAAAAAAATATATGAAAGGGATAGAGCTTAATTTCCCTCCAACTATCTATAATTATTATTATTATTATTGTATAATAATAAAATCGAAACTGTTTGATAATCAGTAGAATTTTCGCTTCCAATGTTGAATTTCTCATAGAACAATATTTGTAATTGCTCTAGAGGAATCTCGTTTAATGGACTGAAAATCAGTCTATGTACTTGGGAGTTTGTACTTTTAACATTATCGACGACCTTGTCGCGTTTCCGAAATTTTTCTTCTCAATGAGAATAGTTTATCCTTACTATGTGCACACAAGTTGCGATATATTTGTGGATAGAGAGGAGAGTAATCCGTACGAGCTTTTTCTTGAAACGTATTGTTTTATGAACAATACGTTATTGAAAAACAAAAAAAAAAAAGTAAAATAAAGCGAAAAAAAAAATTAATAAACATTATAACCGATGTGTAGATTACATCTAACGGTAAAAGTAGTGTAACTGATAAGCCCGAGAATCAAAGCGACGTGCCTGTAATTGTAAATAATTAACAAGGCTTTTTCGATGTTGTTGACAACGACTCCCGTACCAACCAAGTTGATTCAGGTGCAGTTGCTTAGATTAAATTTATTGTCTTTTTAGTAATTTACGCTAGATACAAAAAAAAAAGTTATAGTAAAATAAAAAAATGCATAATTTTTCTAAATTGGCGCATTATGAAAGTTTTGTAAAAAAAAAAAAGAAAAGAAAAAACCACATACATTTCGGAAAAGGCAGGATTTTCGAAATTTTGTCCAATATATTGAAATTTACTATATAGGATTAAATATTATACTATATAGGAATTTAATTATTTTTTTAGTGACCTCGCCTAGTTAGGTTCGTCTCATTTTTTGTACCTAGATCTCTAAGTAGATGTATAATAACGTATGCGTTGATATCACGTGAATGATTTCGTAAATTCCATTGGGATATAAGACGACAAATCCTAGAATTAGTTTCGAGTATTTTAATTCTTAAGGTTTGGCCCTTGCCACCCAGTAATTTAATATAAAATAAAAAAAAAAATAGCACCAGTTCCACTGAAAAAAAATGACTCCAGTAGCTAGTGATTTGTACTAGAAATAGAATTTAGTTTGTATCTTGAAGAAAAAAAAACTATGAAACAAAATCTCAAATAGAAAATAATAATCCATTTTTATACACATTCTGTGTATATTATCGGGTAAAAAAAAAGAATTCGAGTCGCTTAAAATTACATATAATGACAGTGCATCACTGAACTTCAATTATCATGTGACGTTCAAACGAATTCAAGACTTTTCGTTGAATTTGCTTTTTTTACTATAGAATTATAGTAAATATGTATCATGCATATATATTATTATAGTAAATATACTATAATAGTAAAAATAGAAAATAATTGAAAATAGATTAAAAAATTTATTGAAAATATATGACTGAAAATAAGCTGATTAAAGAAAAAAAAATATATATATTTACTGTAATAAATTAGAAATACAGTATAATTAGATATTTATTATAATATTTATATGGTAAATATATATTTACTATAATGGCTAGTCAATATTGAATATTATATTGACTTGTTCTTGATCGTTTTAACAATATGATATTGTTGTTATCTTTGTGCACTTAAAATCACAAGCAGCTAAATACTTTTGCAAGCTTCTCCTTGATCGTTTTTATTGATTCTCAGCCAATCCGTCAGTTTAATACTATTTTTGCTGTCGTTAAAGGGCAAAGATATATTGTGTATGTAATGGAGATGAGTAAACGCATAGGAATATAACATTGTGATCGTGAGAGTATCTGTTATAACGAATAAAAAAAAAAAAAAATTCAAATAAACTATTGTGACTTTTACAGACAAACTGCGTTTTTCATTCATCCTTCACTTGCAATATGTATTTCCTTGAAGATATGGACAAAAAAATTCTGTTTCTTCAATTTTATCACACAAAAATGAAAATTTAAAAAGTGAATGAAGTTATTGTTTTGAAATAAATTTGAAAAAAATTGACCGAAACTATTTCGAAGGAAGATATTTTAAAAAGTTTGAATTCAAGAGGATTTAAAAACTTGAATTCATTTCAAAATATTTTAAAATTAAAGTAAAAAAAAAATTAATTAAAAACAAAAATTATGTAAACCTTAGAAATCGAAAATATTTTAAATTATTATTAATTGAACATATTTAACAAATATTTTAAGATAATTTTTAAAATTAATTTTTACTATTAATTCATTAACAATAAAAATTAAAATATAGAAAAAATTCAATTGCTTTAAAAAAAAGTTTAATTTCAATTCTTTAAAAATGAAAAAGAAATAAATTAAAAACTTATCATTTCGAGTGCAACTAACAATATTTATTTATAATACAGTAGAAATTAAAATTTTTATTACACTTCTAATGATTGGGAACATAGTTCTGACCCGTTTGCGAGCAATTCGAGAGAATTCCTGACGATGTCTCATCATTACCGGAACTGCACAGCATCCCAACAAGTGTATAATCAACGAATGCCGGCAATTCGAGATCCGTTACATCATCATAATTCACTGGATGATGATTATTGTTGACTGGTACCTGTGGAATTCTCGTGTCCAAAACTTCGCATGTGTATTGACATCTATCATTACTGGGATAGAAAAATGGCTCGGGACTATTTTGCGAATGTATTGCCGTCTCGGTAGTACTTGGATCAGTTGAGAAGAGTCTCTCGATAACAGCTGGATTTTGCTCGTGACTACTGTAATTCAGTCGATCATCTAAAACTCGTTGTTGATCATGATGATGGGGAGATCGATTCGCTGGACTTTTTGTCACTGGCTCAATTACTTGATAGCTATTAAAATTTGTAAAATTTGAATTATTCTCCGCGCTGGGCGAACGACTAGGATGAAGTGTTTGATTCATTGATTGAGATTTATTGAGATCCTCGTGTTTTTGAAATACATAGGAATTCCTTTCGTCAATGAGATTTGTTTCCTTTTGCGATGACTCAAAACCCGGGAAATGAACACGATCCTCCTCTGGACACCAATAGGATTGATTTTGATCATTTTTTCTATTGTCAAATTCCTTTTGATTTTGTGCTCGATGATATGATGGATAATTGATTGTTTCGCTGAGTGAATTATTTTGATTTGCATCCTTGGCCATGGGATAACAATTATTCATGGATCGTCGATTGGATTCAAAATCCTTGTCAGTATCAAAGCCGTGGAATTGAAGTCGATCTTCTTGTTGATGAGGAAGACTTAAATGGCTACTACTTGAGTCTTCGCTGAGAAATTGAGTCCAATAATTATCTTGATTTTCTTGCTTCATTTCGTATTTGATGGTTCCACTTCCAAGATCGAGTAAGGTGGATGGTGATCTGGCAACGTCCTGTGCATTCATGGGGAAATCAGGTCTCAATGGTTGATCCAATTGAAAGATTTCTTCAGGTTGAAAGAGATCGCCAGTGAATGCTGGGAAATCCGGATACGCTGCTTCCTGGGGAACTTGACTTGGAAGAGTGTATCCTAAAGTGTTGTCATGAGATTGTACTTGGTCTTGCAACCAGTAAGGAGTGTCTGTAGAGACCGTTTGTTGATTGTACATTCCTGTGCTTTGATGATGATGATGATGATGATGAGAGTGATGAGGGTGATGATTTTGGGAGGATTGATAAGTCGTCATGCTTGATTGAAGCCCACAGATACATTCGAATGGAGGACAGGAACAAGAGTATCCTGGAAAAAAAATTTCAAATTAATTTACAATCATGAACAATTTTTTTTTTATTTTTCTAAAAATTATTATTTTATCTTATTCAAATTTAAATAGTTTTTTTTCTGTTTACGAACAATTTCACATTTATTTTAAAAGCGTAGCAATAAAGTGAAACTTATTAAAAAAAACAGTAATAATTCATTTTTAATTCAATTTTTTGAATTAATTCACAATATAATTGATAAATAAATAATAATTTATTTTATTTAAATAACTCCTTGTAAAATTAGATTTAATTATTGTACTAGGGTTGAAATTTAATTTATTTAATCAAATTTAGTTTTGAAAAAATTAATAAGATATTAAAATTCAATTCATCGAATTTAATTTATTATTTTATTTGATCAATTTATTTTAATTATATTAACTTACTATTTTGATTTTGATTAATTTTTGTATTTACTTAATTTTGTATTTAATAAATTTAATTAATATAATTGTCTGATACTAAATTATAATTTATTAGATCTAAATTGATAATATTATAAAACTAATTTTTGTTTTTTATCATTTTTTTTATGTATCTGAATTATATTTATTTATATCACTATTTTAAATAATTTTTAGTTATCCGACTATTATTAAAATATATATATCATTTATAGATTTTGATTATTTTTAAAAATTATTAATATTAGATTCAATAAAAATAATTATTAAATTTTTTTTTTTTATTTTATAGTTTGAATTTGAATTTAGTTCAGGTTAGTGTCAAGAGGGGCGCTTCAAAAATCATTTCAAAATAGGGACGATGGATTCCCGCTTGAACCCGGCAGCATTCTTTGTTGGCGCATCGTAAGTTGTGTGTTTCTCCGTATTAGTATATAGTTTAAACATAATAAAATATATTGTAGTTGTTCTCGGGTATTTTCAGTGATAAAGAAAACGTTTATTGTCAATTAGTAAAAAGAATTGATTTGAATCATTACTTAAAAACAGTGTAAACTTGTAATCTTTGTGATCTTGCTGAATTATAGGTTATGTTTCATTGTCGTTTAATTTTTTTTGCAAATAATCTATAATTTTTCAAAACTTTTTACATTTAAACAAAATAATAGTTGCAAAGTCACGAATTTTAACGTTAATTAGTAAAAATACAATTAATAATGCTAGATATTTGAGGATTCGTAATAACAAGAAATTTTTGCGCGTGGTTGCCATTATTCAGGGGCAGGCGTCTAGTTACGTGTAAAACATTTCTATTGCTTTTCTTTGTCAAAGAATTATAGTTTATTAAATAATCAGTGCATATTTTTAGGAAAAGAGTAAAGCTTTATTTGTTTTTGAATATCTTAAATAATTCCTAATAAATATTGTTGAATAATTATATAGTATTCGGATAAGTGATAAAGTGAAATGAATATTCTGGAATTTTTGAACATTTTTCTTTTACAGGTATTAAGCATTTCTGTTATGGGTGAAATTTTATTGAAATTAGGTTTATATTTTTCCAATATTTACTGTATTGTAAAATATTATGTTTCAGATACTTTTGCTTCAGATTATTAGAATTCAAGGATTATATTAATAGAAAAATTCAACTGTTGATAAATCGGAGAGTAAGATTCTATTGTCGCATTGCTTCAAAAAACGTAAGTTTTTATTCTCATTATTAGTGATTATTTAATATTTTCTTAAACTTTTTTATCACTTTATATAGGTTATGTTTTACTATTGTTTGAAATTTTTTAAAATTGTTTATTTTCTAAATGCTTTTTATTCATTTAATCAAAATAATTTTCTTTTTTGGCACGTTTGGTAAATATTCTGAAATATTTTATATTTTGAACGTGTTTAGAGGTTAGATTTGTAAAATAACAAATAAATAAATATATATATATATATATATATATATATATATATATATATATATATATATATATATATATATATGTCTATAAATTTAATTTAAAAAAGCAAAACAGGAAATAAGAAAAAGTCGCTCAAAAATGTAACCTGTATATATTTTGGATTATTAAGTATATTTTCAAATGTTTTCATTCAAAGAAATAATAAAATACAAATTAATGAAATTAGATAACTAACCTTTATCAGAAATAAGAGGGGGAGGCTGAGGGGTTCTTGGTGGTATCTCCATTGCCTCTGTGCTCGGCCTCTTTGTACCTCTCAGAGACATTAACTGAAATAATTATTTTAAATTAACTTTTTTGGAATTTGTTTTGTTTTTGTTTTTTTTTTTAAACAACTTTATTAATTTCCGATTATTTAAAAATTTTGAAATTATTTTTTATATAAATTCTGGCTAATTGTAAGAAATATTTTACCTTCGTGCCTAAAGCTGCTTCTCTCGCTAACATAACAGCTAAACCCCTTACTCGTCTGCCAGCACCAACACTTCTTCTCGCTTCTGAAGTTGATTTTGCTTCTGGTTTTGGATGATCATGTTGTCCTTTGGCTTGAAAAAATATTGCATGATCCGTATGTCTCCAGAAATGAGTTACTGGATAACCACAATGTCCACGACAAGAAAGTATTTGCAATCTTCCTGTGCATTGTCTATTTGGACAAGGTTTTCCTTGTTGTTTTTTTCTTGCCTAAAATTAAAATAATTAATTAATTCCTCAATATTTATTAATAAAGGTTGTAGATATTTCTTTTTGGTTTTGGTTCTACTTTTTTTCCGCAAAATTAAATCTACTTTAATGTGTATGCTTTATATGGCTTTTTGGTTGCACGTGCGTCTAATTTATATTTCTCGAATAGCAATTCGAAAAGTATAGTTATACATAAAATTACTTTTATCTCCAATGCGTGATCATATTTCGTAGGAAGCTATTTGTACAACCAGTTTGGAGTGAAGTAAATTAGTGTTTCTTTATCAGCAATAAGTCAACGCACTTGGGATATGTACAATGTGATGCTGAAGGGCAAGATGTTGATGATGATCTTAACAAGAGGATCGTAAATGCTTCGTACCTTGTCACAAATTGCAGGTCGAAGATGTACTCTGTTGCCTCCAGGAAGAATGCAGCTTTCCGAACAAACTAGAACTCCTAAGCAAGATTTCTTGAGGATGCTTACATTGTGATTGTTCGTATTTCTCATTGCCCAGCCGGAAGCGTGTCTTCTCGCTTCTTCGCAATCTGGACCATAGACTCGTCTCACGTGACCATCTGCCCACTCGCACCATGGATCATACTCAATGACCTTGAATTTAAAATAACGAGTCTCGTGAGTTCAGGTGAAATTATATTATTTTAAATTAATTTTTTTCTTTTAATTATTATTGATTCTGGTCTATAAATTATGGAAAACTTTTAAATTGATTTAAATAGGAGATTTTTAAATTATTGTTTACTTCTTAGGTTCATTGTATTTTTATTCAAAGTTTATTGTGAGAGGATTTAATTTCGTTATTTTTCAGTGTTTGTATAGTTAAATCTATCTTCAGAAATCTAACTTTTTTATAATTGTTGCTTCATTCTTAAAATATCTCTTACCCTTGGGACATTTGGATCATTGATATCCCATTCTTGATGAGGATGTTGCTGTTGCTGGTTTCCGGCAACAGTCGCTGACATTGTCGGCGAACCCACACGGCTCCTAAAATTAAAAATTACATTTTTCTTTTAGAAATCTCCTAACAATTTTGGAAATTAAAACTGAATAAATTGCAATAAATTTAAATAATTTAATAGAAAATAAAACAATTAATTATTGAACAAATTTGAAAAATATAGATTTCTGATTTTTTTTTTAGTTTAATGATAAAATGAAAAAAAAAGAATTTTGTTTTTTAAATTTGACAAAGAAAATTTCTTTTTTTTTCAATTAATGACAAGATTCTTCTTGAGAGAATTGAAAACAAATATTGCTGATATTTTATTATACGTACAATATATATATACACGCTTTAAAGATCAATATTCGCATCGGAAGTATGAGAGAGTTTGAAATTCGTTTAAGAAAATGAATGGGATACATCGATTTCCTCTGACAAAACTAATTGGCATTCGTGTAAAGACATTAATATTATTTTCGTCGAGTTTCACGCGCGGACAACCCATCGAATGAAGGAAACAAACGTGTTTCGTTTCACACATATATATATATATATACCTATACACGCGTAAGATTTATTCGTCATATATAGTATTGAAAGAAGAGGGAATATTTGCGCGCGAACGCCTACCGGGCAAAAGTCGCGAGATGGTTATACATAAGCAACAAATTATTATTCAAAATTTAATTGACACACGGTGGGCGACGGTAAACGGTGAAGTTACTTGGATGAGATGCACGTAAATGGAAAGTTACCGGGGCGCGCGTGCAAGACACGAAACATAAGGGGTACCCACCACCCGGGGCGATTTACAAATCTAAGTTTCATCATCTCGGAAGATTCATCATCGATTCTTCGATTACATATCGAAAAATCACTTGTAATAAGTTCAATATGTCTTTGTCGTCTCATTTTCAACGCCGAATCTGTTAAAAAAGAAAAAAAAAAAAAATTTGAAAGTGACTTTAATTTACCACTATCTGATAAATTGTGTAAAAATATTTTAAGTTGTTTTACTAATGAGAAAATTGTAATTTTTTTTTATTTTTTAACGAGGCATAGGCACTATTTATCATTATTGAAAATTCAGAATGATATTTCATATATTATATATATATGTTATAATTCATCTCTCATATTCAATTTGAAAGTTTATATCCAATTTGAAAATATGATTTGTGATTAAAAGGAATGCAATGTGTCTCAGTTGCAATTTATATATATATATCGGGTGTGAAATTCTGTGATTTTGCGATCGAAAGAACTTAATATAAATACGAAGGTCTAATTTAACATTGCGCAATCACTTACGACGTGTCGCGCAGCAATCGAGATAAAATCCCGATTTATGGTACGCATCGGTCGTACCTTGTATTATACTTATGGGTGTTCGTGGGTGGCCTGACAAGATGTTCGCCAACTTCCCGGAATTCTTATATAGTTGCCAGATTCACGTCCGGATGATGATACGAGATCAATACAGACGCGGAAACGCAAGGAAATTATTATAAGTCTTGCGAGTTTAGATAAAATTCCATATTTTTTCCAAAATCAGTTATTTTATGTCTAAATTATTGTGCTTAATGTTCGACACTTTCGCTGAATTTTATATATATAATTTTTATTCAAATCTGTTTGGAATCTAATGACTTTATATATATATATAAATACTTTTAAGAGAGTCCTGAATCTCATTAAAACTGTAATTTGACATTAAAAAGGATAGTTACAGGATTTATATTAAACATTGTGATAGACATGAATTTTTATTTCCCATTAGAAAGTATTTTTAGTTTACTAATATAGTTAATGGTAATGTGTAATGTTTCTTTTAAGCTAATGACTATATTATATATATAGCTATTCCAATTTTGTAGTTTAGAAAAGTTTTTTGAATCATTTAATCAAAGGACATTTGCAAACTTTTGTCGATTATATAGAATTTAAAGTGAGTATTATTGTGATCAATAGGGTGAAATATTTGTGTAAACATTATACTATAACAAAAGTCATTGACCATGCGTGAAATGGAAAACGCCCACCCGAAATCGTTTCCAACCTGCCTATGTGAGAAAGATTAACGATGGGGCGCAGTTTCCATTGAGTAAATTCAGAAAAGTTTTCATTTATTTCATTTTTACCAGGAAAAAAAATTGTCATTTTTTTCTCTTTTCAATTTTCGTCTCGACAAAGATGTATATATGTATATTATATCATTTCTAAAGGATCATATAATTAAATGTTTAGAGAAAAATTCTAGATTTTTCCAGTCAGATTATTCGAGAGGTTTTCTTGTCTATAGGCTTCAAGAAAAATGAACTTCAACCCACGTATTTCGGACCACAATATTCGCGAGTTACACGCGTCCTTTTTGCATTTTATAGAATCGCGCGAGAACTTGGACGTTTACGATCTTCAGACACCTACTCGCAAATTTTTCATCGTCTCTCTACACCTCCTCGTCCTCGAGGTCTAGACTGATGCTTTTTTTTTTAGGGGAGAAAAAAAAGAAATTTCATAGCACAAACTTTTTAGTAATCACAATTTATAACCTTAATTATTTTCATCTAATAGTTCTTTGAATGTATACAAAGAGTACTTAAAATATATTTTCACTACATGTGTATGAATTTTATAATTGTTTCTTCAAAAATTAAATGCTTTACATTTTTAAGTACAAATTATTTTGATTATTAAGTTATTTTGAAAACTAGCGTTTTTTTTATGTTATTATATCCAAAAAGAATCAAGGATATTTTTTTTTCTTTTAAAATTGGGAAAGGATTCGTTAGATTAAAATAAACATTTGCTCAAATGTCAGTGTATATATATATACACACAAGCTCTCTCGCAGGGGATATCTTTGACCATAAGTAGAGAAAGAGTATTTGAGAAGAGAAGGAAACTGTGAACGGGTTGAATGATTGCCCGGATCGGTGATAAAGTCATCGCCTTTAGCACCGCGTAAGATGATACATCGACCGGCGATGCAGAGCCAAGATTGTAGCAAGAGATGAACGCGTACACGCACACGCGTCTCCCTCTAGTACATAAAGCGCGAGTATTTACCTCCAAGCACCTAAGTCGTGGCTCGTGTGGTGAACCTACGAGCACGGGCCACGCTTTCAGGGCTGGTCCCCATAAATAACCTCACCCAAAAGTCTCCTGATTCCAAATTTTCGACCCACAAAAGAATATATATATATATATCTTCCGGAGAAAAAAATAATACTGCTTTTTATCGTTTCATTGTTGTCAATGTACTTGCGCTTTTTATTTTGTTAATTGAATGAAAAAAACAAAATTTTGCGATTTAATTTATTTTAAAAGTGAAATATTTTTAATAATCAAAATATCTTATAAATAAACTGTAAAAATGGTTCAGTTTGGAATTTATTAATTTTTTTGTTAATTAATGTAACTTTAAAAAGTGTAAAAAAAGACTATATTTAATGAAGTAAATATTTATCGTTATGAAAATTGGAATTAAGAAAAGATTGTCGATAAAATTTGAGCATTGGAATTTATATTCTTGGATTAGATACTTATCATTTTTATAAATTTTCTTTGCGTACACGCATTCGGCCCTGGTGACTTTAGATATTAAATGGAAGATATGTTCGCGACTCAAACATTAAATATCTCGGAGTGAGAAAAAACTGTACGAGGTATATATACCCAACCAATCCTGGTTATTCGGATCTTCGCGCGAGATTACGGAAAGAGGTCCTGGACAAGTTAATTCTTCGAGTCCGGAACGTCATCTCAAAAGGAAACTAATAGTTATCAGGTTCAGATTAACGGGTTTCTACAATATCGTTCTTTTCGTATATATAAACATTTATTTTTAAAATGTGTCCGCTTCCATTTTTATATTCTGTCGACAAATATAGTATTATAATAATTTAAACATATACGTGGGTTGCAATAATCTCGGTTATCAAATTTACTATATCAAAGCATATATGTACTATAATTAAGAAAATATTAAGCTCAAATTTTTGGAATTAAAATTATATATATATATATAAGGAAGCTCTCGAAATAATTTTTATTTATTTTTGTTTTTCTTATTAGTTTCTTATTTTTTCTATACAATTTTTTAGAATAAAAAATAAAAACGGGGTGGGCTAAAATAAACATTTATTTATTGAAATTGAAAGAGAATAAATTACGAGCCAGTTTTGAAGTTTATTGTTAAATATTTTTACAGGGCTGTTGATGTAAATCAAATCATTTCATAATTGTCATTACTCGAGACGGTCCTAACCGTTAAACTGTCAGCTTCCATTCGGCGGAGAGATAAAGGGTCCTGCTAGCGTGGGTTCAAAGAGTTCTTCACGGTCTTAAGATCCAAGATAAAGGGGATCGTTTTACCGGAACATTCGTTTAATCTGTCTTCGAGGTGTCGCCCTGTGATCAATGGCGGGGTGAACATTCTTAATCGAATTCACATACAAATCAGCACACATATAATCAATGTTTTCAACCCCCTTTTCATCTTAAAAAACATTCCTAATCGGTCATGACAGTATTGAGATCAAGAATTTGTGTGAATCATATATCTTCTTTATTCGTTGCGAGAATTTTTTTTCTTCTATATATTATATATAGAAAAAACTCCTTGGCATGTTTTTGTCACAATTTACCATTAAAATCAACTAATCAATTGAAATTTTGAGCCTATGGGTTAAATATAGATATATAAATCTACAAAAGCCTGAAAAAATATTTGCATTCGTGTTATTTTATTATTTAGCTAAAAATACAAAATCTATTCTGAAAGGGGGAAAAATATGGGGACAAGGATGATTTTGGAGGTCATTTGATAAGGAATAAATATATACATATCTATTACTGAATTTGTAATAGATCAAAGATGGAGTTGTCGAACAAGGACGATGGTTAATTCCAACAAAAGGCACACCACTCACGTTGCCGATTCCGTGTACATAAAAGCTGTTAGGTCCTAGAAACCCAACCAACCAATGGGGTTAAGTGATAACGCCCACACGCCAATGAGAAAGTCGTACAACGCCCACTGATTAGATATCAGGGAAAACTATAAAGGGGAGAAAAATCGATTCTTCAATTCTTTACATTCACATTGTATATATATATATATATATATGTGAAGAGTATCTTTTTAATCGGCTTCAGGAAGTAACCGATTGTTCCGCAGGAAACGCCCAATTGTTAGCTTGCTATTTTTCTAAATTACATTTATCATTTGGCTATTCATTATTTGTTTCAGTAAGAGAGGCTATATTTCAAACAAAAATGAAAAAAAATCTACTTGATTTTGTTGGATCACATGAAAAACGATTTTAAATAAAAAATATGTTTCTAACTTTTTAGTAATTCAAAATTCACTATTTTTCCTATATAGATTCGATTGTATTTAATGTTTACACGGAAAAAAGGAATTACTTACTAATGCTAACTGATGTTTGCTATCGGATGTATCAAAATTTAGTAACTACAGCTAAATTTCTTGCTACATAACAACGAAAAAGTTTGCTGTGATATAAATAACAGTCTTAATTTTTTAAAACTTATTGTCACAGCAATAAACTTTTTTGACCCCACGACAAATTTATTCGCTGTCACAGCAAACGATTTCTATGCGTGCGTAGATAAGTGTTTTGCAAATTAAGGATATTTTTGCTAGACGCATAGAAAAAGTTTGCTGTGACAGTGAACTATTTGCTCTCACATCAAATTACGTTAGCTAATATTGGATGTCAAAAGATTGCTGTGACAGTAAATTTTTAAAAATTAAGATTAATATTGTTTATCACAGCATAAACTTTTTTTGTTGTCATTGCAAAAAATTTAGCTGTGGTTACTAATTTTGATAGATCCGATATAGCCAACATCAGTTAGCATCTGTAAGCGCATAATTCCTTTTTTTCCATTTATATAAAAACTGATTATTTATTTTTATAAGTGCGGATAAATTTCATTTCGCTAAACGTTATATATGTAAAGAAGGTGCCAGAGTTTTCGTATCATCAGACCGAAGATATATGATGATGATTGATTTCTCTCCAGAAGACAAGATGATGTGAAAAATTATTTTAAAAAATTTGTTTATGCTATTCTCTTAATACAGTTTTTCTCCATTTTGGTACTAAATTTAACAATAATAATTATCATTAGATTAATTAATGATCTTTAAAAAAGTAAAAGATTTTTACATTTAAGAAAATAGTTTCAAGTTTGTTCAATAGTTGTCATTAAAATTTAATTCATTGTAATTAAAAAATCCGTATTTAGTACTTACAATACCACCATAGTCGAAACTCCTGGAAGAATGATCACTAGACTCTCCCTCTCTCTCTCTCTTATTACAACACTATAGTAACAGGATTTATCACAGTCCTTGATTAGGTGTAATCTTTGGTCCAGGAAATAATTGTGACACTTCACTGACTAGTAATCGAATGTTCAATCATTTATCGCACAAGATTGAACAAAAATAACTTTAATTATGAAGTATTTTCACCAACTAGTTTTTAATACACGCGTTATTTTATTCATAGATTATTTATTAGATATTAGCAAGAATAATCTAGTTTTAGAATATTTTTATTTTAAACGATTAAATAAGTCATGTAAAATAAAATTTTGATCCTTGGTGACTTAGAAAAATCCTAAGGATAAATATATTTATATATATATATTATATGATCGCGCTTGCGTGTGTGCGACTCAGAGTCGCGCCGAGGACTGACTATCAACTTGTGAAATAGTATGAGCACGTTGATGGCTTGTTGTGCTCCCTCGATCGGTGTTCATAAGGACCGCCTACGGGAGTGGCCATGTTCAACCAATGGCAGTGATACTTATTCAAGGGTGTCTAATCCTTCGAGCCACCCTCAAATCCTTGGGATAGGTGTCTTTCGTTTCTATCAAGAAAACACGAGTGTTGCACAATCGAAATTTACTTCTTTTTTTTTCTTGGGTCGTACATCATATATATAATAAGTCGGAGCAGCCCCTTTGTTTACTCTTGCGTGGGAGATGTCGACCCTTGAGAATTTTTTCCAAGTTTCATGTGTCATTCACCTCGCGCAATAGAAAAGGGCAATTCGTTTCCAATCCAAGAGAAAAAGAGTTTTAAATCTTGCGTGAAAGAAATCTGTAAAAGTCGGTCGACAGTCATTGACAGGATTCAACAGCTATATATATATAGATTTCAAAATTTTGTTGATCTGTAAAATGATTTATAGATGTTTACATATATCTAAATCTTTCTGATTAATTTAACATCTATTCATAAGAGTCTGTCATATATTATTGTTACTGTTACAATCTTGTATTGAAAATTAGGATTGTCTATTTTGCAAAATTTCTTAAAGATACTATCAACTTTTGATGGTAATATCTTGATGATTTGATAAGTAACTGATTTTCCAAGCAGTCTGTGATGTTTTTGATTATGATGCTGAATTGAGAAATTAATCCAATTTGCTCCTTTGAAATAATTTCTTATTTCGCTTTTTAAGATCACCTTTCGCTTATGCTATACACCGAAAAAAATATATTGAATCAATAGCATTTCTGCCAAAGGTATAAAATTTATTGATTCAAAAGCATATGCTATAAAATGTGTAAAATATTTTACAAATTTTATAGCATATGCTTTTGAATCAATAATTTTTATATCTTTGACAGAAATGCTGTTATAATTCAATAACATATTTTTCTCAGTGTAAATTTGATACTTTAGGACAATGATATTTATGACCATAAAGAAATTTAATTAATTTTTTCAACTATTGACTAATGTTTCTTTATATATGTCAATAATATCCAACTAATTTTACAGTTGTTATCTCGAAAATTAATTTTAAAAAATAGTAAATAATTGATTAAAATACAGATAGGGTTTTAATATACGGATGAGATAATTATTATTTATTGATTCGAATTATTATTATAAAATATTTTTTTATGAAAGTTAAATAATAATTTAGCTGCGTAAATCGAATGTGAAATCTAATGTAACAGCAAAGAAGTAGGTATATATAGATAATCAGCTGGTTTCTCTAATTCGCGAGGGGGTGTTTCAGAGGAGTTGCCACTTTTCTATACCTCATGCCACTTGCTTATCCTAACTCCCTCCTCCTTTTTAGGTACCCGCATCCAAGACAACGGCCCGTTACACTTCGATCGAACTCGAGTTCACGACGCAAACATATCTGCCAAAGTGAGGTCGTCCTCGAAATTGCAATCCGCTATTTCTCTGATTACTTGAATTACTCAAAGGAATCAGAGCTTCTGCTGAAATTCAAATCCCAGAAACTAGGTTTCTCAATATATACAAAAGGTCTTAAACGATGAGCACAGTGAAGAAAAAATTTAGTATTTCATTCAAATAATATTGATTACTTTGCGACTATTACATCAATAAATACATCAATATATTTCTGCATTTGTATAAAATGCCATTTATTGATCTGGAACCAGATGCATCTGCTAAAAAATTTCTAGTTATTCTAAAAAGAAAAAATATAGTTAACAGACACTGTTCAGTTAAATAATTCTTTAAATAATTTCTGACAAAATCAACTATAGAATACATTTTGGGTATCAATTAGTTTCAATTTGACACTTTTAAGTTAACAGTGTAATATTTAATCCTGGTTTGACTAACCAGAATTCTATATAGTTATATTAACCAAACATTTTTTCATTGGAGAATAGTGAAAGATTTTAACTGAAACAATTAAAACTTTTGTTATTCTATATAGTCAAATCTATCGTTGTTTAGGTAAACCTTTTTTCCGTTTCGAACGAATAAATAATAATCAAGTAACGGGTTATTTTAATCAAATCAATTTTTTTCAGTAAAAATTCTTTCTAATTAGATGATATAAGGATTAAATTGCCTTGAGTGGTAATTCTAAAGAGCATTTTATGTATATATATATTTACCGAAATTTGAACTCCCCCTGGTCCTCTTATGGTTCGTTCTCACCCAATTTTCTATTAGAAACGTTTTAAAGGGATTAGTTCAAAGGATTAGATCAACAACAAAATTAGCGTAGTTTAGGGGAAGTTCGTCAAATAGTAAAAGGGGTTAGTGGTTTAGAGGACATTTGTAAACTCAATGTGTTATATATATATATACTTGGGAGCCACTACCGCACATGAAACCGATATTCACGGGAAAAAATATTTTGCAAATCTATATTGTAACTTTTATTTATATATATATATATAGTCCGAGTCTCATAATATATGCTATATTTATATGCGACTTATCAGTTCTTCTCCCTCACGCCTGCATATAGACCGGGGATAAGTTTTTTACCTAAATATATATGTGCTATATCTTTCATGCATGTGCGATTTGGTACCGCCACGTGTGTGTTACTGCTGATAATCCTAGCGTTACTTCCTACCACGTGCCGCAGGTGTGGAGTTTGCGGTTGCTCTTTACAGAATTGTTATAAAGTGGTTAACTTCTTTACAATATATAGCAATTATATGAATTTTAGTTTTAGTTTTTTTTTTTTTTTTTTGTTTGTCCAACTCAAATATTATATAGAAATGAAAAATGACGTTTTGCATGATTACAAAATTTTTATTACAATTATTGAAAATTGGATTCACTCCGAGGGGCTGTTCACTGAAAATCCAATTGAACAATATTTGAGAATTCATTAAAGATTTTTAAGGATTGCTAGTCATTTTTGTAATTCCTATTTTGAAATTAAGGGAAATAGTGCTTTCATTTTATTTGAAGTAATTACTTGCAAGAGTAAGATTGCAAGAAAAATAGATTAATTGTATAATTCGCCGCCGAATTCGCTCGTATGTCTCCGTAACCATTCGTGACTCGCAACAATTCTTACTGCATGATTTAGAATTTTACTGGAATCGACGAGATTCGTTTGGATTCGCATAGTATTCGACAAATTCGAACGTCCTTTTCAATAATCGTCGGTAATCTCTAATTAAAATACAATATATTCAGAATCAAGAAATTTACATTTTCTTATGTTAATTGATGAATATTCGGAAGATACCTAGTATATTCTCTACATTACAAATCGGGTATTCGAGAGTGAACAGCCCCTCGATTCACTCTAATATTTGTCATCTTTGACTTGAAGAATACTTGAATACTTGAAGAGATGACATAAACTGCTTTCGTTTTATTTTTACGAACATTTAAAAAAAGTATAGACATATCTATTCAGGACTTATCCTATACCTATGATAAATCTCAAATTAAATTATTTCAGTTCAGACCCTCTTGAGCCTTTTAACTTAAAAAAGGAACCTGTTTTAAAAGCATATTTTTGCTGAGTTTATACCTCATCATAATCTTCTTAAATTTAGCGCGCACATATTAAAAGTGCTGACAATCACTATAGTGAAAAACTGGGACGATTCTAAAGTTCGACACCAACGTTTATGATCAACGAATTTTAAAGAAATATTTTTATTTAATTAAAAATTCTATGAATTTCAAAGCTATTTTTTGCAATGTTTATTGATAAAATTATCAATGTAACATTATTTGCAGAATTTTAATTTTATAGAATATTCAAATTTAATTTGATCGAATCTCAATTTGTGCGAAACGTTATTTCCTAAAATATAATTCAAAAGAATCTTAATTGTTCAGAAAGAAGATTAGAAAGAATATTAATTTAATAGAATATTCATCTATTCGACTATTAATTATATACAGAAAATGTAAATGGTCGAAAATTAATGTGTCAGAACTATATTTTGGAGGCTTAGTTTAAAATTGACCAATCACAATGTTTATTTTTCGACCATTTGTATTTTCTGTAAAATTAATATTCGAATAACATACATGAATATTCTGTTAAATTAATATTCTACAAAACAAAGTTTCGCACAAATTGAGATTCAATAAAATTGAATTGGATTTATTATATTGGATTTTGGATTTATTATATTTATAAATTTTGTCTTTATTGACCTGTAAAAATGTAGAGTCAGTAGTTTTTGAAATAATAGTTTTGCACAAAAAAAAGTTGTGTTATTCTGATTAAGAAAGAATTTTTGACAATGGGGTAACATACAAGTTTATATATATATAGTTATAGTATATATATAAAATGGAGGAAATTTCTAGCGAGCTAGCGTCTGGGATTTTGCCCATCCGTTAAATACGAGATTCGCGAGAGTTTGAGGCTGTTTAAACACAGAGGGTGGGTAATCAGGAGTGTTTGCCGCCCCATGAACGAGCGAGCAAGCGAGTACGCGCGGATCAAAGGATAATGGGGTGGGCTGATAGCGCTCTGATTTGATTGTTGCCCTGGCTATTGTCCGGAACAGCTCCATTGTACGTAGGAGCGGGTCGTGTATAGTTACCTACTGTGTATACGTACATAGCTATGTACGCGCGGTGTCTTTGACACTATCTACTATACATTATTTCGAATCTCCTATCATTTCATTTCCATGTCCTTTCACAAGACAGCTATTGGACGATTTTCTTTTTTTTCTGAAAAAAAATAAAATACAACAATCTTTTTCTTTCGCCTGACGCACTTTAACACCCATGATTATATAATTAAATTCCCTATTGAAATTGTATATGTGCATTTTTTCATGTGTAATAATTGAGATTTTTTTGTCGACATGAGGGCTATATTACACTTGTCGCGATTTTTATGGCGATTTATCTTGAAAATGTGATTGACTGCTGTTGGAATAGGTGCAAATGAAAAGCGCTTTACAACACGGAGAAAAAT